TACTACTACGACTACTTCTACGACTACGACTACTACTACGACTACGACTACTACTACGACTACTACGACTACTACTACTACTACTGCTGCTACTACTACTACTTCTACTACTACTTCTACTACTACTTTTACGACTACTACTTCTACTACTTCTACTTAAGTCTATTTCTACTTTTACTACTTCCACTACTTCTATGTATACTTCTGTCACTACTTCTACTATACTCCTACTATTTCTTTACTTATACCACAAATATTACCACCGTTACTACCACTACTACACTACTACCGCTACTACTACTAGTACTACTACTACTACTACTACTACTGCTACTACTACTACTACTAGTACTACTTCTACTACTACTACTACGACGACGACCACTAATACTACTACTACTACTACTACTACTACTACTACTACTACTACTACTACTACTACTACTACTACTACTGCCACTGCCGCCACTATTACTACGATTATTAAATTTCTTGCTACTATCACCAGGATTGTGTTACTGGCCTTGCTAATATTTCTATATAGTGCTTCTAATTTCTTAGTACTATTGTTACCATTTCTAGCGCTGCTAGCACTTCGAGTACTCCCAATATCTTGGTATAATTCATACTAGTCGCACACGGGCATGGCTAGTACTACAAATACAATATCATATCTACTTTAGCTGCCTTTAGCCTTAGCGATACCCCCTGTAAATCAATATGGCATAATGATGTTAAAATTGCTACGAAACTGTGGTTAGCGATGGGACCTTTCCAAATTATGTTGATGTCCTTTTCATGAACAAGGAGTTTTTGACAGCAGCGCATATGTATATATTTATATGTAGGTCCGGAACAAGACCAGTTACAAAGCCCCTTCGTTCCATACGTCCGGAACACCGCGGAACGCTCCATACACAATTGGGACTCACAGCCCTTTTTTTTTATATTACTATTAGTACAATATATATTATAATATACTATTTATACTATAATATGCTTTTTTAATATTACTATTAGTGTGTATTTATATTATTATATATTGTTATATATATATATTATAATATACTATTATATATATATATATACTAATAATATACTATATATAATATTTGAGCTACACCCACGCCACCGCAGTTATGTCAAAACGGTGGACAAGTGGAAAACGTGCGGCGGAGATGCCACCTGTGGCCGTTTCACTGCTTGAACTGCGGGCAGTGACGGGAGCTGTCCTGGCCCCAAAATTGGGGCTTGGGGCCCTGGAAACGATGGGCAAGGAAAAAGCTATCAGATAAGCATATCATATCATAGTTAACCATACGTAGATACCATTATCAAAGGAAGCTTGAAGGTCTAACTTCCGTGTTACGGATCTTTGGAATGTCACAGAGCAGGGATGTCAGAGCAAAGAGATGTCAAAGCAAAGAGATATCAAAGCAGGATGTCAAAGCAAAGGGATGTCAAAGCAAAGAGATGTCAAAGCAAAGGCATGTCAAAGCAAAGGGATGTCAAAGCTTAAAGGGGTGTCAAAGCAAAGGGACGGGAAGTCTCGCACGAAAGCCTCGCTTTCACACCTTCCACTTTCAGATTTTGAGGGATGTCTCGCACGAAAGCTTCGTTTTCACATCCTCCACTTTCAGATTTGGAGGGGGGTCTCGCACGAAAGCGTCGTTTTCACATCTTCCACTTTCACTTTTCGAGGGAGGTCTCGCACGAAAGCCTCGCTTTTACATCTTCCACGTTCACTTTTGGAGAGGAGTCTCGCACAAAAGCTTCGTTTTCACACCTTCCACTTTCAGATTTTGCACGAAAGCTTCGTTTTCACATACTGAACTTTCAGATTTGGAGGGGGGGTCTCGCACGAAAGCTTCGTTTTCACATCTTCCACTGTGACTTTGGAGCGAAGTCTCGCACGAAAGCGTCGCTTTCACATCTTCCACTTTCACTTTTGGAGAGGAGTCTCGCACGAAAGCTTCGTTTTCACATCTTCCACTTTGACTTTTGGAGTGAAGTCTCGCACGAAAGCCTCGTTTTCACATCTTCCACTTTCACTTTTGGAGAGGAGTCTCGCACAAAAGCTTCGTTTTCACATCTTCTACTTTCAGTTTTTGAGTGACGTCTCGCACGACATGCATTTTTGAGAGTCTATAGCAGATGCACGAAATGTTGTGTTTTGCAGGACTAAACGTGTCCCGGAAGATGGATGGGGAAGCTTGTCCGGCGGGCGGTTCCCGGACCCTCTCGGCTGTACCGGGATCTTTCTCGGATCGGCCCCGCAGTGGAACTGACACCTCAGGCGTCGTTTTGCCGACGTTCTTGCGCGTAGTTCTTTTGTGCTTTGCACCTCAGTCTTTGCAGATCGCAATGTAATGGCTGCGTCAAGCTTTCTTGGATCCGCGGCTGTGTGCGTAATATGCTATTGTCTGTTGCAGCTGGACATCGTAAATCGTATTGGAGTGGCGGCATCAAGGCTGCGATAGTGATTTGTTTGCAAGTTTTCTCAAATTGGCGCTGGTGATTTTCGTTTTACAATTCCTTTTAAAAAGTGCTTCAAAATCAGTTTTTTTTGCTTTGGCGTCGAGATCCATCTGGTTTTGAAGCTGCAATTTCTGACGCCGTTGTGCGCGGTTCTATGGTGTTTAGTAACTCAGTCTTTGCAGACCGCCTTGTATGGCTGCTTCAAGGTTGCTCGGCGCCGCGGCCGTGTGCGTAATTCAATCGTCTTTTGCAGCTGGAGATCGTAAATCGTATTGGAGTGGCTGCATCAAGGCTGCGACAGTGATTTTTCAGCAGATTTTCTCTGTTTTAAAGCTTGCTGTGTTTAAAATCTTCTCTGCGTAAAAGCTTCTCAGTGTAAATGGATCTCTGTGAAAGGGCTTCTCTGTGTAAACGCTTCTCTGTGCAAAAGATGTAAAAGCTGGCTGTGTGTAAAGCTTCTGTGTAAAAGTTTGCTGTGTGTAAAAGCTTCTCTGTGTAAATGCTTTTTTGTGTAAGGGCTTCTCTGTGTGAAAGCTTGCTGTGTGTAAAAGCTTCTGTGTGTAAAAGCTTCTCTGTGTAAAAGCTTCTCTGTGTAAAAGCTGGCTGTGTGTAAAAGCTTGCTCTGTGTAAAAGCTTCTGTGTGTAAAAGCATCTCTGTGTGAAAGCTTCTCTGTGTAAGAGCTTGCTCTGTGTAAAAGCTGGCCGTATGTAAAAGCTTGCTGTGTGTAATAGCTTCTGTGTGTAAAAGATTCTCTGCGTGAAAGCTTGCTGTGTGTAAAAGTTTCGCTGTGTAAAAGCCTTTCTGTGTAGGAGCTTCTCTGCGTGAAGGCATGCTGTGTAAAAAAAACTTCTGTGTGTAATGGTTTTTGTGTGTAAAACTGTGTAAAGGCTTCTCTGTGTAAAAGCTTCTGTGTGTAAAAGCTTTCTCTGTGTAAAAGCTTCTCTGTGTAAAAGCTTGTCTGTGTAGGAGCTTCTTTGTGTGAAAGCTTGCTGTGTGTAGAAGCTTCTCTGGGTAAAGGCTTCTCTGTGTAAAAGCTTCTGTGTGTAAAAGCTCGCTGTGTGATGTGTAAAGGCTTGGCTGTGCAAAGGCTTCTCTGTGTAAACGTTTTTCTGTGCGAAAGCTGCTGTGTGTAAAGGCTTCTGCGTGTAAAGCTTGTGTGTGTAAAAGTTTGCTGCGTGTAAAGGCTTCTGTGTGCAAAAGATTCTCAGGGCAGAAGCTTGCTGTGTGCAAAAGCTTGCTGTGGATAAAAGCTTACCGGTTTCTGTGGAAAAGCTTCTGTGTGTACAAGCTTCTCTGTGCAAAAGCTCGCTGTGTGTAAACGCTTCTCTTCTCTGTGTCAACTCTTCTCTGTGGAAAGCGTAGGGGTCGCTTGCTTCGGCGCCGAGATCCGTTTTTGGAGCAGGTTTTCAGCTTGAGAGCCGAGGTGATTTGAGAGTGTGCTGAGAAGAGCTGAGATGAGGTGTGACGAGCTGACAAGAGCAGAGATCAGCTGAGGTTAGCTGAGGAGGTGTGAGAAGAGCTTAGAAGATGTGAGAAGACGGAAAAAGAGATGAGAAGACGTAAGATGAGCTGAAATGAGCTGCGGAGAGCTGAGAAGAGTTGAGAAGAGCTGTGAAAATTTGAGAGAGCTGAGAGAAGCCGAGATGAAAAGAGATGAGAAAAGCTCAAAGGACATGAGAAGAGAGGAGAACAGCCGTGATCAGCTGAGAAGAGCTGAGAATGGGAGAAGGCATGAGACGGGATGAGGTGAGATGCGCTGAAAAAGCTGAGAAGACATGAGATGAGTTAAGATGAGATGGGATGACACAGACTGCGGTGACAGAGGGATGCAGTGAACAATTTCCAAGAGAAGCTGCAATGCGATGAGATCAGAAGAAATGAGAAAAGATTCAACATTCAAAAAGCATGGCATCAGATTGATAGTCGTGACTTGCCTGTCACCTATAGGCACAGCCTTTGCTCCGCTCTATAGGCTATCAGGGTTTCAAATTTGAAACTTCCGCCCCCGGCTTGCCCGGGAACTACTTGCTTGCATTAAGAAAATGCATTTTATAGGTACATTCCTTAGATATTCTTGGGGTGGAACTCTTTCCAACAAGGCTACATCCAGAATCAAAGGGTAGAAGGACACTATGATTGGAACTTCTTTGTGCAGTTCCAGGACTGTTAAAACTGTTACCATTTGATATTGGCCTTTTGGCACGCTTCCAAATCCAGGACTCCGAGTGTCCAGAGCAGCTCAGCCAGCGAATGTCAAAAGACGACCAGGATCAGGGTGACCTTTATGAGACGACACTTCAATCTGAAGATGCCTACCATTCCGAAGCCATGTCCAGTTGTGCTAGTATTGCTAGTGAATTCTATGAACTCTATGAATGTTAGATATAAAATTGATTGAAATGATATAAAGTCGATGGTTTTGCCTTGGCGGAAAAAAGTGTTTCTGCAATCTTCTGCCCATGTTCAATCCATTTTCATCATCTCATGGTTTCCTAGAATGCCGCAGTCTGCAGTCACTCAGGAAATTACCCCATGGTCACCATGCCGGAGATGCTCGATGATCTGGATTTGGCTCTCGCATGGATCAAGGATAACCTGGCTGCCCAGCAGTGATTAAGGCGGAAAGTTGGAGCCCTCGATGTGCTGATGCTTGTTTCTGCATTGGAACCGAAGGTTGATGCAGTTTGACTTGGATTTTCATTGACCACCGGAAATTTGATGCTCTTTGACACAGAAAATGACATGAGACCATCTGTCACAATGACACAACATGACTGCAGTTGCCGAGTTGCATGACGTACCCCTTCTTGCAAATGTAAACTCTCACAAATTTGGATCGCTAATTCAGGGCAGGCAGGTAGACAGCAGATGGATTGCGATCGCATTGGGTTGCTGTACAGCTATGGATGCATAGATATAGCTAGATTTAGATATAGACGTGATATATAACTATTAATACATGTATGTATATCTTTATAACAAGATGGATAGTTGGATGGATGGATGGATGGATCGATCGATCGAGCGACAGATAGATAGATAGAGATAAACGGATAGATAGTTCGACAGATAGAAAAATAGACATATAGAAAGAAAGAAAGAAAGATAGATAGATAGAAAGACAGACCCATTGGTTGATTGGATAGATAAGATAGAGAAGATAGATAAGATATAGAAGATAGATAAGAAAGGTATGATAGATAAGATATATATATATATGGTAGGTATGATCGATAAGATTGATAAGACTGAAAAAATAGGGAAGATTGAAAGGACAAATGATAAACATGATAGATAGGATCGATAGGATCGATAGGATGCATTGGCTGATAGAAAAGATAGGAATCATAGGATAAAAAGGAAAGATAGGATAGATAGGATAAATAGGCCAGAAGTGATAGATAGGATTAGATAGATAGATAGACAGACAGATAGATAGATAGATATAGATAGATATAGATAGATAGATAGACAGACAGATAGATAGATAGATAAGGTTAGATTAGATTAGGTTAGATTAGATTGATATATAAGTAAGATAGATAAGATAGATAGATAGATAGACAAATAGATAGATAGGTAGATAGATAGGTAGATAGATAGATAGATAAGGTTAGATTAGATTAGATTAGATTGATAGATAAGATAGGTAGGTAGATAGATAGATAGATAAATAGATAAGATAGATAGATAGATAGATAGATAGATAGATAAGTAGATAGATAGATCGATAGATAGATAGATAAGTAGATAGATAGATAGATAGATAGATAGATAGATATAGATAGATAGATAGAAAGATAAGGTTAGATTAGATTAGATTAGATTGATAGGTAAGTAAGATAGATAGGTAGATAGATAGATAAGGTTAGACAAGGTTAGATTAGATTAGATTAGGTTAGATTGATAGATAAGATAGATAGATAGATAGACAGACAGATAGATAGATAGACAGATAGATACATAGATGGGTAGATAGGTAGATAGATAGATAGATAGGTAGATAGATAGATAGATAGGTAGATAGATAAGGGTAGATTAGATTAGATTAGATTGATAGATAAGATAGATAGATAGATAGAAAGATCGATAGATAGATAGATAGAAAGATAGATAGATACATAGATACATAGATAAGGTTAGATTAGATTAGATTAGATTGATAGGTAAGTAAGATAGATAGATAGATAGATATAGATAGCTAGATTAGATTAGATTAGATGAGATGAGATGAGATTAGATAGATAGATAGATACATAGATAGATAGATAAGAATAGATAGATGAGAATAGATAGATAGATGGATAGATAGATGGATAGATAGATGGACAGATAGGATAGATAGGGTAGATAGGATAGATAGGATAGATAAGATGGATAAGATAGATAAGATAGATAGGATAGATAAGATTGATAATATAGATAAGATAGATAAGATAGATAAGATAGATAAGATAGATAAGATTATTGAGGTAGATAAGATAGATAAGATACATAAGATACATAAGATAGATAAGATAGATTAGATAGATTAGATAGATTAGATGGATTAGATGGATTAGATAGATTAGATAGATTAGATAGATTAGGTAGATTAGATAGATTAGATAGGTTAGATAGATTAGATAGATTAGATAAATTAGATAGAGTGGGTAGATAGATAGATTAGATTGATAGATAGATAGATAGAAAGATAGATAGATGGATAGATGGATAGATGGATAGATGGATAGATGGATAGATGGATAGATGGATAGATAGACAAGGTTAGATTAGATTAGATTAGATTAGGTTGATAGATAGATAGATAGATAGATAAGAATAGATAAGAATAGATAAGAATAGATAAGAATAGATAAGGTTACATTTGATTACATAAGATTAGACAAGATTAGATAAGATCAGATAAGATTAGATAAGATTTGATAAGATTTGATAAAGATTTGATAAGGTTAGAAAAGATTAGATAAGATTAGATAAGATTAGATAAGATTAGATAAGATTAGATAAGATTAGATAAGATTAGATAAGAGTAGATAAGATTAGATAAGAGTAGATAAGATTAGAAAAGATTAGATAAGATCAGATAAGATTAGATCGATTAGATCGATTAAATCGATTAGATCGATTAGATCGACTAGATCGATTAGATCGTTTAGATCGATTAGATCGATTAGATAGAGTAGATAGAGTAGATAGAGTAGATAGAGTAGATAGAGTAGATAGAGTAGATAGAGTAGATAGAGTAGATAGATTAGATAGATTAGATAGATCAGATAAATTAGATAGTTTAGATAAATTAGATAGATAGATAGATAGATAGATTAGATAGATTAGATAGATTAGATAGATTAGATAGATTAGATAAATTAGATAGATTAGATAGATTAGACAGATAGATAGATAGATAGATAGATAAATTAGACAGATAGATAGATAGCTAGATAGATAGATAGATAGATTAGATAGATAGATAGATAGATAGATTAGATAGATTAGATTAGATTAGATTAGATAGATAGATTAGATTGATTAGATAGATTAAATAGATTAGATAGATTAGATTAGATTAGATTAGATTAGGTTAGGTTAGGTTAGATTAGATTAGATAGATAGATAGATAGATAGATTCGATAGATTAGATAGGTAGATAGATAGATAGATAGAGAGACAGAGAGATAGATAGATAGATAGATAGATGGATAGATGGATAGATAGATATCTAATCTATCTAATCTATCTAATCTATCTAATCTATCTAACCTATCTAATCTATCTAATCTAACTAATCTAATCTAATCTATCTAATCTAATCTAATCTATCTAATCTATCTAATCTATCTATCTATCTATCTATCTATCTATCTGTCTAATTTATCTAATCTATCTAATTTATCTAATCTATTTAATTTATCTAATCTATCTAATCTATCTATTCTATCTATTCTATCTAATCTATCTAATCTATCTAGTCTATCTAATCTATCTAATCTATCTACTCTATCTACTCTATCTACTCTATCTACTCTATCTACTCTACCTACTCTATCTACTTGATCTAATCGATCTAAACGATCTAATCGATCTAATCGATCTAATCGATTTAATCGATCTAATCGATCTAATCTTCTCTAATCTTATCTAATCGTATCTAAGCTTATCTAATCTTATCTAATCTATTCAAATCTTATCCAGTCTTTATCAAAACCTTAATAACCTTTTCAAATCTTATCGAATCTTTATCAAAACCTTATCTAACCTTATCAAATCGTATCTAATCTTATCTAATCTATTCAAATCTTATCTTCAAATATTTATCAAAACCTTATCTAACCTTTTCAAATCTTACCTAATCTTTTCTAACCTTATCAAATCTTTATCAAATCTTTTCAAATCTTATCAAATCTTATCAAATCTTATCTAATCTTGTCTAATCTTATCTAATCTTTTGTAATCTTATCTATTCTTATCTATTCTTATCTATTCTTATCTATTCTTATCTATTCTTATCTATTCTTATCTATCTATCTATCTATCTATCTATCTATCAACCTAATCTAATCTAATCTAACCTTATCTATCTATGTATCTATCTTTCTATCTATCTAACTATCTGTCTATCTATCTACCTATCTATCTATCTTTCTATCTATCTATTTATCTTTCTATCTATTTATCAATCTATCTAATCTATCTATCCATCTAATTTATTTATATTTCTTCCTATCTATCTATCTATCTATTTATCTATCGATCTATCTATCTATCTTTCTATCTATCTGTCTTTCTATCTATCTATCTACTTATCTATCTATCTGTCTATCTATCTACCTAATCTAATCTAATCTAAGCTAATCTAATATCATCTATCTATCTATCTAATTTAATCTAAATCTAACCTACTCTAATCTAAATCTAATCTAATCTAATCTAATCTAATCTTACCTATATATCTACCTATCTAACTATCTATCTATCTATCTATCTATGTATCTATCTAATCTAAATCTAACCTAATCTAATCTTTTCTAATCTAATCTTTTCTAATCTAATCTAATCTTATCTTATCTATCCATCTATCTATCTATGTATCTATCTGGCTATCTATCTATCTTTCTTTCTATCTATCTAACTATCTATCTGTCTACCTATCTATCTATCAATCTATCTATTTATCTTTCTATCTATTTATCTTTCTATCTACCTATCTATCTATCTATCTATCTATCGATCTAATTTATTTATATTTCTTCCTATCTCTTCTCTCTCATCTAGTCAGCTTCTGGGTACTATCGAACATGGAGTGCGACCGATGCTAGTCTATCTATCTATCTATCTATGTATCAGTCGATCGATCGATCTATCTATCTCAAGAGACAAGCATACTTGTCAATGCTATCTCCTTCCGTTGGCCGAGACGGTACAAAAACCGTTCCTGGTTGCCCATGTATGGTGGTCAGTCCAGTTTGGGAAGTCCGGAGTCGCTTCCCCCATTTCAAGTCTCTGTGTTTGTTGGTTATGATTGGAGCATTGTGCGTTTCACCATTTTTTTAATCAGATAATCTATGCAATTATATATAATTAAAACTGGTAGGACAAAGTGCGCTTGTTGAGCTTCCCCCACAGTGAACATGTTGGGCTCGGTCTTCTTATGCACACCCTTTCCCCGAGAATCCTGCAATGAGCTTTGTCGTACCCCTGGTCGCAGTTCCACCCTCCAAAAGCTTTTAAAATCTTATTATTTAAACGGAGGGTGATTAATTGACGGTCCCACACCTGCCACACAAAACGGACTTGAAAATGCGATCCGCGGTTGACCGAACATGGATGTGCTTGTAAAGCTTTCAAGAAGCATAAACTTTGTTCCTCCTGAAGGGTACGACGAAAAGCTTATTTAGTGGGAATTGCCACGTCATTTGCTGACTTCTGCACCTGCTTCAGCTTGGTCATTACTCCACATAACATGTCTGTCTCCATCCTCTTTGTCTGATGTGCTACACATGTGCTGCGACGCAGGGTACAAAAAGCTTATTTAGTGGGAATTGCCACGTCCTTTGCTGATTTTTGCACCTGCTTCAGCTTGGACATTACTCCACATAACATGTCTGTCTCCATCCTCTTTGTCTGCACTGCTACACATGTGCCGTGACGAAGGGTACGAAAAGCTTATTTAGTGGGAATTGCCACGTCATTTGCTGACTTCTGCACCTGCTTCAGCTTGGTCATTACTCCACATAACATGTCTGTCTCCATCCTCTTTGTCTGCACTGCTACACATGTGCTGCGACGCAGGGTACAAAAAGCTTATTTAGTGGGAATTGCCACGTCATTTGCTGATTTTTGCACCTGCTTCAGCTTGGTCATTACTCCACATAGCATGTCTGTCTCCATCCTCTTTGTCTGCACTGCTACACATGTGCCGTGACGCAGGTACAAAAAGCTTATTTAGTGGGAATTGCCACGTCATTTGCTGATTTTTGCACCTGCTTCAGCTTGGACATTACTCCACATAACATGTCTGTCTCCATCCTCTTTGTCTGCACTGCTACACATGTGCCGTGACGCAGGGTACGAAAAGCATATTTAGTGGGAATTGCCACGTCATTTGCTGACTTCTGCACCTGCTTCAGCTTGGTCATTACTCCACATAACATGTCTGTCTCCATCCTCTTTGTCTGCACTGCTACACATGTGCTGCGACGCAGGGTACCAAAAGCTTATTTAGTGGGAATTGCCACGTCATTTGCTGATTTTTGCACCTGCTTCAGCTTGGTCATTACTCCACATAGCATGTCTGTCTCCATCCTCTTTGTCTGCACTGCTACACATGTGCCGTGACGCAGGGTACAAAAAGCTTATTTAGTGGGAATTGCCACGTCATTTTCTGATTTTTGCACCTGCTTCAGCTTGGACATTACTCCACATAACATGTCTGTCTCCATCCTCTTTGTCTGCATTGCTACACATGTGCCGTGACGCACTGGTAGGACAAAAGTTGCGCTTGTTGAGCTTCCCACAGTGAACATGTTTGGCTTCTTCTTCTGCACACCCTTTCCCCGTAGAATCCTAGCATGGAGCTTTGTCGTACCCCGGTCGCATTTCCACCCTCCAAAAGCTTTAAAATCTTATATATTTAAAAGAGGGTGATAATTGACCGTCCCACACCTGCCACACAAAACGGACTTGAAAATGCGATCCGCGGTTGACCGACATGGATGTCTTGTAAAGCTTTCAAGAAGCATAAACTTTGTTCCTCCTGAAGTATATATACATTCATTGAATACAAATCACTTTTCAGCTTAAACCTCTTGAATCCCTCAGATCTTCAACTCAACTCTACATGGGGTCAAGTTACAAAGTCTGCAATCTAACATGGCAATGAACCATTCCCCGCTTGGTTCGAATTTCCCATGAAAGCCACCATTTAGTTCGGACATTTCCTATGCGAGCCGTTAGCCGCCATGATTGATGATAGGGAAAAGTACAAGTTTGCCGATTTTCCGATAAAGACCTCCATTGAGAAGGAGGTTTCCAGCCAGCCATGTTTGATTACCAGAGGGAAACTCCATTATATAATCACCATTATTAAACATTATTAATCATTGCAAACCATTATTGATTAATATTCGCTATTAATTACCATTATTAACATTTATAAATATAAACCATCTATAACCATATGCAGGTGCCCAAAAATAAATGGCGGTACCCCCAAATCATCAAGTTTAATAGGGTTTGCAATTATTAACCGTTCATATTGGGGTAACCCCCCATGTGTGGAAACCCATATCTATATATATATATATATGCATATCATCACCAAGCATGATGTATTATCAATAAAATTTATTGATCACCATTAAGATTTATTAAGCATATATAATTTTTCAAACAATGACAATGTATATGAACCATACAAATCCGCATCTTTTCTGAGGCTTCCTATGGAGCCACATTGGACGACTCTCCGGTCGCCCTGGTGGGACCGTCTGCTGGTGCTCAGCTGGCGGCGACGCCGGGAAACCCACAATGAAACATGGCACAGTTGATGTGTTTTTTGAAGAATATTGCTATAATGGGTTGATATGGAGGATTCCTAAAATGGGGTTACCCCCAAATGGCTCGTTTATAATGGAATAAACATCTATAAATTGCTGATTTGGGGGTACCCCTATTTTAGGAACCGCCCATAGCTGTCTATGATTCTCTCTGATTATCGGCATTCAAATAGAAGGCTGTATACCCAAAGTGTTCACTACGTGGACATAGATAAACGTAGATAGTTTTGAATATATCCAAATAGTTAACATATAGGAATTATGACAATGACAACATATGTTTAAATATATAGAACCCCTTCCTCCTAATACTAAACGCCCCCCCCTATTACTAAACACGGCAGGTAGTTTTTAGTATTAAAGGGGTTCCCTAATACTAAATTAAACCCTTAATAATAAAAACTATTTTTTCCGATTTCAAAATCAATTAAATTTCTTTATATAACGCAATTAACATATTGCCAAAAATTGGATTTTGAAGCTTCCCCACTAATAACAAATACCCCGGGGTTGACTAGTTTTTAGTATTAGGGGGGGAACCAACAAATGGTAGGTTGATTTTTAAATTGTTTTCTAACGGGGATCAATTAAAAGTCACATTGGCCAATCTGATTTTTTTCCAAAATTAGAGATGGACACCAGTTTTTAGTATTTGGGCGGGGTTTAGTATTAGGAGGAAGGGATTACACATTTATATATATATATATATGTTCCGAATTTGAGTTGTTAGGCTATATAGATGTTGTCATGGTCCCCATTCAACCAAGTGGTTTCAGGTCCCTCTCATCGCCGGTGCCCAGGCTGCTCTTGCGTCAGTGCCAACGTGAAGCTCTTGACCTGGAAGGAGACGATGGGACGATTTTCTGTTTGGAGATCCGTCAATGGATTGGTTCAAGGGGACATCTTAACCAGAAACCATGGGAAAATGACAATGAAGGGAAATCTTTTCCGGAAATCATGTTTTTTCATGAAACCTTGGTTTTTCCTGTAAATGTTCCATGAAACCAATCCGTTGAATGGGACACAAAAAGCAACAACTGGCAAACCGATTGCCATAGATGTCTACACCAATGAATGTTGACCGTGTTAAGTTACGGACCAGTAGGTTCCCCCAAAATAGTGACCAATTGCTACTTAAAGTTAAATGGTACCTTGAACAGCCTAGGGGTTTTTGAGTCCAGGGTTGACATTACACCTGATGGCGTGGGCGAATGGAGATTCGCACCCTTGAGGTTATATTGATAATCCCCAAAATCAGGTAGATTTAAGTAATCCAACAGTAACCCATAGTAATCATTAAGTAGTCCAATAGAAATCCATAGTAATCCCAAATAACAAACAAGAATCCATCAAAAATCCCAATAATCATCCAGAATACATTTAAAAAAACAAATAGTCATTAAGAATCAATAATAAAATAATTCCAAATAATCTTTCAGAATACACGATAATTCCGAATAATTATTAAGAATCCATTATAATTCTAAAAATCATTAAAAATCCATATTAATTCCAAATAGTCATGAAGAATCTTAAAACAAAAACAAAAATGCCATTAAGAATCCATTTTCGAAATAATCATTAAGAATCCATCATATGTCCCAATAATCATGAAGAATTCATATTCCAAATAATCATTAGGAATCCATACTAGTTCCAAATAATCATTCAGAGTCTTTCATAATGCCTCATAATCATTAAGAATCCGCAATGATTCCAAATAATCGTTAAGAATCAATGATAATTCCAAATATTCGTTAATAATCAAAATAATTCCAAATAATCATGAAGAATCCAGTATAATTGTTAATAACCATTAATAACCCATATTAATCCCAAATAATCATTAAGAATCAATGATAATTCCAAATATTCGTGAAGAATCCATAATAAATCCAAATAATCATTCACAATCCATCGTAAATCCCAATAGTCATCAAGAACCCATATTCCCAATAACCATCAAGAGCTCATGATAATTCTCAATAATCAACAAGAATTCAAAAATCCCAATAGTCATTAAGAATCAATATCCCAAATAATCATTAAGAATCCATTAAAAAAACAACAATCATTCAGAAACCATATTCCAAATAATCACTGGGAACCCATAATAACTCCATATAATCATTAAGAAATCCTTCAGAATTCATATTCCAAATAATCATTAAAATCAATAATGATTTCCAATAATCATTAAGCATCCATAAATAAATCCCAATACTCATTAAGAACCCATATTCCAAATAATCATTAAGAATCCATTTTCCAAATAATCATTAAGAATCCATATTCCAAATAATCATTAAGAATCCATATTCCAAATAACTATTAAGAAATTAAGAAACCATAAAAATTCCAAATAGCAAATTGAGTAACAACCCACAGAAAAAACCGGCGATGATAGGATCCCTTTCCTGGTCCCCGTCGATGTTCAAGGCAAGGGCCGGCATGACGGCACAACCCATGTGGTGTGTCCATGGGTTCTTCCCACAAAATGGCCATTGAATGATGAAAAATGAGGATTAAAAGACCTTTTTTAGTTTGTGTTATCCAATTTTCAGACAAACCCATCTCCTATGAGCGTCTTCAGAAAAACCTGGGGGAATGAATATCCACTGTTTTCCTCATAGCTACCGTCAACCAGTCAAAACAACGCAAAACCAGTCGTAGAGAGCACCTTCCAAAAAGTTTCCAAGAATGCCTCACTGTTTCAATTCTTATGTGTTTGACCTGCTCAACAAACATGCCCGCAAATGCTCTATATACATGGAACATTTACCTACAGCACTGGGCCTTTGCCCCCAAGTGGTTCTATTCTGATATAGAATCAAACGTGTGAGGTAGTGATAGATCATTCATTCATATATATATATATTAAATTATATTTATATTTATTTATTATTACTATTATTATTATGTGATATATCTATGTGTCGTACAGATTTTTCATCACTAGCTGAATGAAGGTTTCTCTTGAACGACAAATGTTTGAACGATGGTCGCAACGGCCACTTGTCAACCGCTCAAGTGTGGTTCTATCTTCGAAGGCAACACAGCCTTGCTTCGTGGTTCAATCGGGGCATCATTTTTGATGGTTGCGTGGTTTCAGCCCCAAAGTGTCATTTTGAACGCGTCAAAGTGCCCTGTTGGTGAAACCAGTGAAGAATTGTTGTTCAATGTTCACCAAATCAACAGCATTTTGCAGATGAGATCACACTTTTTACTCATCAATTTTGTTCCGCAAAAAAATCACCATGTTGGGCACCTTCAAATCCCGGACGTTCCCAATGATTGTCTCGACGAGGTTTTCGTGGGCGTCTCTGGAGTTTATGATTTGCCCATGGAGGCAGGACTTCTGGCAGGTGGATAATAGATTTTTTTTCCATAGTGATATAAATGGCCACAAATAGAGAAAAATGGGAATAACTGGGACTACTGGTGTTTTTGAATTCTAAATTTCGATGTATTTTTTCATATGTTTTCTTTGCTTGCTAAGTTCATGTTTGTTCCTCATTTTTTGGGGGGCATTTAAAAGTATAAGTATAAGTTTCACGGTTTCTTTTTTGGGACCTCAGAAGTATAGTCGATTATGTTCCCGTGCTTCGTGTTGGAGGATCTAAAAAGCAGATCTATATATATATATACAGTATATACAAATAATTGGCACATGTCATTTCTTTGATTTGGATGACTTTAAACAAGAACAATTACATTATTTTGCATATAGAATATAGATGAATATAGATGAATATAGATGAATATAGATGAATATAGATGAATATAGTTCAATGGTTGAATGAATGGGTCACAATCCCAACATCCCATATTTCAAAGGGGTAAGTAGACTGGTAGCGTTCAAAGTCCACATTCCAAACATGCTGAAGTTCTGCGAGGGATTGGACGCTTCGTTGAAATTTCTGCAAAAGCAGCTATGGTTATTAAGCCTATTTAGCACACGCATTATATACATATATTCATATGCACACTAGTGTAGTTTATATATATATATTTACTATTTTAGATATTATATGTATATATATACATATACATATGTATATGTATATATATACATACACATTATAGATAACATATATTTGTATACAATGTATATTATTGGTACACATCTCAAAAAGTTGGATTGTCTGTTGCTAAGTTGTGGTTTGAGCCAGGTTGCCCATGTTTGAGCCATGCCCAGATCCAGACACCGACCGTGGCAGGCTGAGCATTTGGAGACCATCGGAATTGTTCCATTCCTCTCACACCTTTCTGCTGCTGGGCCGAAAGTTTAGGCTCCACATTGTCAATGCCAAGACGAAGATGAAGAAGCCCTTTAAGTCATGCAGTTTGCTGCTTTAAGCATTGTGATAATGAGGGACTATGTAGTGAATTTGAGAGTATGGCTGGGAGTTGTCTGTTTTTCTTTCACGTGAGGACCAGGATGTTAAGACCAAGATTGCATTCGTGATAGAGGTTCATGAAGCGTGCTGAACTTCAAGGTAAAGGGTTCCCAAGAAGTTCTTGGATTTGGCCGAGATTGTATAAAAGAAACCGCAATCCCCTAATACCTTATTACCCAATAACAACAATAAATGACTTATAACCCCAATAATTGATAACTATCCAAATGCTATCACAATCCAAACCATAGAATGGCCAAGAACACATTCTTGGGATCATCCCAAGCCCAATATATCCCAGTAGGTATCACTTGATTTCGCTAGTTTCTTTATTTGAACAGCATTTAAGCGATGATTTTTCAAATTGACTCATCTAAGATTAGCTAGTAATATAGATTGATAATGATTAATTTCTAGATATATCACTAATGATATCAACCTAATTGAAAAATCAAAATGACTAATCTAATGTTCAAAGATTCTTCAGAGGGTGGCTCAACGTGGCTCAACCACCCACGAATCTCCCAGACTCTTCAGGTCGACGGTGACCTCACGTCCTTCTCACCTAGCTTGATGCTCCAGGACAAGTGGAATGTCATGCAGATTTTGTGCAGATTTTTTGAATAGGAAAACTAGAGATCTTTACCTGGCAGTGGATTTTTGTCCCATTTTTGTTGGATAATTTTCCGATGAACACCTCCATTGAAATAGATGGTTTCCCAGCCAGCCACCTTTGATTACCAGAGGGTAGAGGATTTTGTCGATAGAAAAGGAGGCCCACAGCACCAGGGAAAGCTCCAAGTCACTTGATCGACAAGAGGTTACCTGACCTCCTCAATTCAGGCTTAGCCACCAAGAAGCACTAGGCCTTATGAACCCTATGTATAGGGTTTCCATAAATGGGGGTACCCCTAAATCATCCATTTTTGTTTGGGATGTTCCCTTATAAACCATCCATTTTCGGGTACCCCCATTTATGCAAACCAAACCTCCATATACATACATACATTACATTACATTACATTACATAACATAACATAACATACATACATATGATATATGTATATATATATATATGCACTGCATTTCTGTGTACGGCAAAGGTTGATTACTTCTGAATTCTGATCTGCCATGGACAAACAAATGCACTGATGCATATCAAAAGGCCAAGGGGATTCTATTTGCATCGTACGATATGTAGAGTGCCAGCGGCCAACAATCACACATAGAGATGATTAGAGATGTTTAACTGCCATCCAAATATAGCTGAAAACGTACATACAACGTGCTAACAGGCAGATAAATTGTGGTGCGGATGCCAAAGTCACATCAAGGGGAACACCCACAAGAACTGCAATGTAACAAGCCGTTTTGTTTTGGGACTGGACGGAGTGCCGGTGAACAAAAGTCAACTGTTTGTCTAAAGTCCATGAAAAAAGTGGTTGAATCTGGGTGTCACACTCAATCATATTTACTGTAGTTATTCCATAACTAATTTCACCGTCACCGTTGTTGGTGGTTTCAACATGTTTCATGTTGTTTTATTTTCCGTTTTCAACATGTTTACGTACCAGCCGCTCAACGTTGACGCCAAACATTGGCAAGTCCAAAGGTCCATCCTGTTCCATCCTAACTGCAATGATCACATGGAAAATTGTACAGCATTTCCAGAAATGTGGTAACAATGGGGCCTCTCAATTATTTGACCCCTTCCGAAGTACCTTTCAGGATGAAACCGCCGCAGGAGGAGATTTACTCCAAAGCTGCCGGCCGACACCCAGCGGTGCATCTTTTCCATGGTCAGGCTGGGACTGTTTACGGTTTTTTGTTAGGGGAAACATGTTGGCTATGGGTCAAAACCCTGGCAATGTTGGATTTTTACCCCAACATAGCTGCTAGTTATGGATGTTCATCCCCTCCAAATATGCTAGTGACTACCGCAGTGTAGGTTTTAGATGGTTTTAGTATGTTTTTGTTCATTCCTAAATGGGTTTGCTCGAAAATAGGGTGCCCCTAAATTATGGTGGTGTATAAGTCAGTATAAGTATATATATATATATCTCTCTCTCATCATCAGCATCATCATGCGACCTGCAAACAAATGTGGACAAACATCAGTGTTTTGGTTGATTTCTGTTTTTTCGGCGTAATGACCGAATAGTAACGACTCCCAACCGTCATGAAGCCCCCTTAAGATGGGGGCTACATTGTCTGTGAGATACTCGGGGATACCTTTGCGGCAAGGGTTACAAGGCCTGGATGAAGTTCATATGCATACAGCATACACATATGTCAAGTATATATATATATATGCATATGCACATTACACATACACATATGTGTATACATATACATATATATATATATACATTTAGATAGAGAGATAGATAGATAGCTAGATAGATAGATAGATAGAGGGAAACAGTGCTGAAACAGATACTGTGGATAATTTATATATTATACCTGTAGGCCTTACAAATAGGTAGGTAGGTAGGTAGGGAGGGAGATATAAAGGGAGATAAATGGGGTGATAGATAGGAATATTGACATGAAGATTGCTAGATAGCTATATCAATCATGCTCAGCAATTATGGTTCTATAATATCTATCTATACATACATACATACATACATCCATACATCCATACATCCATACATCCATACATCCATGCATACATACATACATACATCCATACATCCATACATCCATACATCCATACATCCATACATCCATGCATACATCCATATCATACATCCATGCATACATGCATACATACATACATACATCCATGCATACATCCATGCATACATCCATGCATACATCCATGCATACATACATACATACATCCATACATCCATACATCCATACATCCATGCATACATCCATGCATACATCCATGCATACATCCATGCAGACATCCATGCATACATCCATGCATACATACATACATACATCCATGCATACATCCATGCATACATCCATGCATCCATGCATCCATGCATCCATGCATACATCCATACATACATACATACATACATATGTATGTATATGATATTGGATAATTTTACAGAGAAAGAGATAGGTAGATCTATACATGGGCAGGTCCCTATTCCTGGCACCGCTCCGGAGGCAGACACTAGTGTGCCACTGGTCACCTGGCATTTTCATTGGGAGTGGTTTGTACTACCTGGGTGATAGGGGAATTATTCTTACTCATATATAATGATATATATATATATAGATAATTTATAGCATCAATATGCATCAATCAACATGTTTTTGTTTGATGTGTTTGGTTGAGTTTGATTATGATGATTCAGCCAGATTCTATGTCTTCTCGGGTAATTTTCAGGACTTGCTTTGGTTGACGATTGGGTATTTCCAAGGAGATGAGCACAAGCTTCGCCCGGGCCTTGAGAAAGGTACGCAGAAAGTCATTTGTGGCGGATGGATCCATCTTTTTTGACACAGTTTTCCAGTGTTGAATGTTGAACCCACCTGCATTAAAACGTACTAAATCATATCAAATCAACAATGGCTAAGATGATCGCGTTGTTTTTGACAACCACAAGGATGTTCATGCAAAACTGCAAGGTTTTGGCGGACTCCCTTGCAATGCCCGCACAGTTTGCTTGAAATTTGTACAGTCAAGAGGTTCATGTGATAGTTTTGGTGTCACAACATGTATCCCTGCGATGTTTATCCATTTGTGTGGCCCAACCATTCCTTTACATCCTCCACATAAAGCAAGCAGCAGGTGGCCTACTATGCACTAGCAAACTGTGAATGATGTTGTTTCAATTGCTTTGTTCCAGATCAAGACACATATAACCTTTGATTGTCCTTGTTCCTGACATTGGTCCCGATGCTTGTGCAACACCCCATTCCCAGTTCATGATTTTGGCCCTCTATGGCCCTCTTGTGATTCTCGTTGCTCTGCTTGTGTGTTTTACTGCTTATCATTTTGGTCACACCGGTCACATCCACTTGGATCCCCATTGCTCGAGCATTCTTCTAGTCAACATTTCCTGGCGGAAGTCACATAGGTTAAATCACCATATTATGCTGGTGCAAAACCCCTGACCCTCCTGGGAACCTCCTGGGAACCTCCTGGGAACCTCCTGGGAACCTCCTGGGAACCTCCTGGGAACCTCCTGGGAAGCTCCTGGGAAGCTCCTGGGAAGCTGGCCAGGCCAACGTACCCGTGGAGGCTGCTTGGATGGTGGGATGGTGGAACACTGTTCAACTACCGCAAGCTGATGTTTGATATGGATCCTATGGCACATAACTAATCATAACTATGATTCCTTTATATAAATTAATGATTTAGCTTCTCAATACATTTAGTTGGGGCGGTGCAGTATCATTTCCTCTTCTTTCTTTGCTGATGATTGACCTTCAAAGGCAATTTAGAAAAGATGTCCGTATGAAGACATGCTCCAACAAGTGGTTGATCTACCATTGACATCAGATGATATATATATATATATCAGATGAACGACCAAAAACTGCAATGTCACGAATCTAAGTTCTGATTGGTTTACTACAGTATTTTAACTTATGAACATATAGTATATCAAACATATTGTTGGTTAATGTTGTTTATATATCCCCATGATATACTCATTGATAGATGTTCTTTCTTTCCCTTAGAATATCTCCAGTATCCGGTGAACTTCCCATATTTTTTGCAGAAAATCACCTGAGAAATTTCCACGGTGATGGGTAGGTCTTCCTCCAAAAGGGCGCCACGCACTCGGAACCGGTGGTGGAAGGGCCTTTAGCTGGCGACGATATCCAGGTGGGAGAGGAAGGGAGCTGTGGATCCAAATCACACCCCAAAGACTTCCTAGACTTCCTAAGGAGATATTTGGATCCATAGGGTATAATAAATAAATATATATATATATACATGTACTATGTCGTTTCAGTTTGTGTTTGTGTGTTTCCAATGTCGTAGCAAGATGTTTCTGCCTTTTAAGTGTTACGCAGCACTGGATGCGCGGTCAATAGCGAAATGATTAGTCGATGACAGTTGCTTTCATCGGTAGACTTGTCATATCTCGTCATAACAACCCAGAACAGGTTTCGCTGGGATTTGTTTGTTGCTTTGTCGTGCACACAGGGAGAACCGACTGTGGCAGAAAATTCAGCAAGTTTAAGGTGTGCAAAGGGGACTTGAACCCCAGTGGCCATAGGGGCAGCTCGAGTGAAGTTTCTGTTGTTTTGACTCTGCAAAGCTTTTGATTTGAGTTAGTGGACATCCCACACTTGATGGTTGAATCTACCATTGAACTTTCTTGGATTTTGTGTTTGGTGGGATATGATATGGCTCCCATGTTGGGTTTGTCCATGTTTGTCCGAAAAGGGGATACATACATCTAAAATCATCTAACTATTCTAAATTCCATTATAATTCAGTCTAGTTTCTCTTAGCATCATGTGATATAATGTGTGCTTTGTCAAATCATCAAATGCTAGCATGATCATACATTATCGATATGATATGATTGAAGTTTCACCCATTTGAAATCCATGGCCAGGCGCAGCTCATCTTGCCATACCTACTCCCAGACGTGCGGCTCCCCCGCGCGCCCTGCTTCATGCCCCGATCGGTCCCTTGGATTCCAATTTTCGCCGACTGGGTACATTATAACCTCACTGGAATCATGGTAAATCATCCCGAAGATCCGTGGCCTTATTTCAGGTGAAAAATTGTAATTCACCCAGATAAGGTATACCATCCAGTAATGAAACATGACAACTGGCAATCAGAGAACTATCCATGGAGGTTTCAATGGGGAAATCATCGAACTAAATGTGGAATTGTCCATTGCCATGTTGGTGAAAGCTTTGAGTTCCAGTCTTTGATGCAAGAAAGTAAGAAGTTGAAACAGCTATTCGGAAGGGGTATTGGGCTTAGAATATATTATATATATTATATATATTATATATTATATATATATTATATATATTATATATATATTATATATTATATTATATATATATATTATATATATATTATATATATATTATATATATATATATATTATATTATATATATTATATATATTATATATTATATATTATATATATTATATATTATATATTATATATTATATATTATATATATATTATATATATTATATATATTATATATATTATATATATTATATATATTATATATATTATATGTATTATATATATATATATATTATATTATATATATATTATATTATATATATTATATATATTATATATATTATATATTATATATATATATTATCTATATTATATATATTATCTATATTATCTATTATATATATTATATATATTATCTATATTATCTATATTATGTATATTATATATTATATATTATATATATATATTATATATATATATTATATATATATATATTATATTATATATAGTAAATATATAATATAACATATATAATATGTATGTTTGTTTGTGCGATTCGAAAATGTAATGGGAATTGCTGGGATATGTGCAAAATATAATAAATATATATATATACTATAAGGAGACAGTAGTTTGATACCTGTAAGGGATATTAGGGGGATATAGGGGTAGTGGGGAGATAATCCGTTCTCCCTAACGTACCCCGAAAAAGATACAACAACCTAGGGGCAGTTGTCATTATTAGGGGGTATTTCATGTTAGGGTGAGAAGCTTCAATAAAATCAAAAGCGTTATTACAAGACTAACATGTTCCAACTAAAGATTGATCACACCCCGTATTTTAAACATATAATTTATAATATGTATATGTATATGCAGTCGGATCTTTTACCGGCCCACAAATTCGACATTTTTGTTACATATCATCCAAAACCTCTTGGGGTTGGGGTTGGGTGGGGTGGGGTGGGGCATGTCAACGTTCGCTTGCACTTGCGTCATGAAGTTGATGCTACGTTACGGATGGGGTTGGGGTTGGGTGGGGTGGGGTGGGGCATGTCAACGTTCGCTTGCACTTGCGTCATGAAGTTGATGCTACGTGGTTGGGTGAAGATCCACACAGGTGGAATTGACAGCTGTTGGACCATTCTGAAAGCTGGTATGCCAGATAAGATAGCTTCAAAGTGTGGATCCAAACCCAATCCCTTGCTGTGGAAGTACATCCGCAGCGCACAATGGCGCTGGGAGATGAACTCTGCAGACCTGCTGGCCAAAACGGGCCTCTACCTGGCAAAGCTGTGAGCTGAAAAAAGGAAAACCGAACTCGGAACGTTTTTGACCACAAAATGCTGGAAGGGTTGACGAAAGCATCTTGCGATGAACTTTGTTTAAGAAACTTTTTTGGACCCAGAATGTGCGTTTGGCTAGCACGAGAACGACGTTTTTGAGAAATCATGGGACGGTGAAAGATCCGTCGGGATGTATATGATATTGCCAAACATTTGCTTTGGACTCTTTTTTTCATAAGAATAAAGTCAAAAGTCAAAACCTTAAGCAAACTATATAGTTATGTCTGGAACCCGAAGCATAAACCGCCCCAAACCAACTAGTTTTTATTATGAAGGGGTGGAAGCCTGAACCCTCAAATGGGACCTTGATTTTGAACTCATTTTCTAAACACGATTAACTAAAATTCAAATCGACCAACCTGAAACGTCCCAAAAATAACAATATTGGGTAGTTTTTGGTGACTGGGGCGTATTTAGTAAAAGGAAGAAGGGATTACTGTAATGTAAATCAACAATATGATATGGGTCTGTCCAAGAACGGGGGCATTTAAAATTGAACCCTGACCATTTCATTGGGGAAAAGGATAATGCTGCACTGTTAGAATTTTTGGATATCCCATTCTGGTCAAAATAAGATTCGAGCAAGCAGGTAGATTTCTCGGCAGAAAGTGTTTTTTTCAGCATAATTGGTACAATTCTTAAATGGTAGATGGTGAGTTTACCAACAAACCAATTTTGGCAGAGCAACACACATGGAGATTTCAACATACCGGCCATGCTGGCGCCAGGTATTGGCGATCGCCAAATGGGTGATGCCTTTCTAAGATGCAGGCCGGGAGCGTCGCACAACGGACCTAGACACCTAGACAGTGATAGCAAACCTCAAAGGGATAGAAGAAAAAAATCCTATTAGAATAGTGACAGATTCCTTCTCTATCCTTTGTGTGGCTTACTATAGTTGAAAATTGGGCACTTCCTAATAGCTGATGATACGTCTTAAACTAGTGCCCACAGCAGGATTTGGTGTTTTGGGCACCAGGATAGTTCTTTATATAGTTCTCCAGCCCATCCGCTGGTTGTCATGGTCCCCTATGTTTAGCATGCGCCCGTTTTGAAACCAAGACCCCATGTTGACAGGGCGATGATGTCACTTTCGGAATTGGATCTGTTCAGACTGAATTCGGAGAGTCACCAGCAACCTCAATTGCCTTATGCCTTGTTTAGAGCACCATAGAGTTGTATCATAGTATCAAACTTGGAAACATCAGGTGTTTGAATCAAGGACAGGTTCTCAGTTTCTGGGCCAGGGAAACTACAGAAGAATCAGGGGAGTGAAGCGTTCTAATATGAGTTTTTCTGGAAATTACATGAAGTTGCTAGTCAAAGCAACTGTACGATAGGTTGTGGCTGTCCAACCTATATTGACCTATCAGACCTATCGGCCAGGCAAAATTCAGTGCAACACTGAGGTGTGCTTACAGAAAAAGGTGAACTTAGGTCATCGGGTTGAACATGCAGCCCACATGACCGCAAGAAACTGGCGACCTGGTAGTCATCCCGCTGGATACGGATTTTGGGATGATTTTGGATCATGAGCTGAAGATGAGCTCGGTTGGCCTAGTCGTTTCTTTTGTCAACCATATTGGGAATATAACAAGTATGTGTATATACTATACTATACTATACATATACATGTTATTGTATATAGCAGTATATATATATATTTAAACATAGTATTCACATGTATGTGTATTATATATAATAGTATTCCTTTTTGGTGATTTCAACCCACACCAGCTGAATTTGCAATGCATCCAGCTGTGCAATCCCAAGTGTAATGCTACCTCCCTACCTGGGATGTGACTTGGGATGGGGTTAAACAACGTTTGGATTTCCGAGATTTATAGCAAGCACCAAAAAGAACGAAAACTACGAAGAGCATAGTGTTTTGGACTTTACTTTTGTATCTTTGTAGGGTGTGTGTTTTTCGACTGGCAGAACATAAAAGAACCTATGCAAATAGAATCTGGATCTAGTTGATCTAGTTGTCGTGCCTGTTCGCTGCAAGGCTTCCTGTGCCTTAGTGGAGAATGGTGGCTGTTACCCAGTAACTGTAATGGAACACAGCAGTAATGGTGGAACATTTGTCCAATGAGGATCAATGAGGAGCATTCAGCTACCAGAGTTGCCAGGGGTCAAAGTACTATAGGGCTGGAAGGACTGGATGGTGTGCTTTATGACATAGGTGATGTTCGTTCATATATGGTTTCTCTATGTTTCTCTCATTTGTAGACCGGACAAGACAAGTGGGGCTTTTAGAAACTTCATTGGTATTTATTCTGGTTTTGAATCATCTCGTTCATTGAGTCTAGAGGTACGGTGCTTTTCATTGATTGCTCAAGTCTTTAATGTTGCACTCGTCAGTTGACTGTGTCAAGATCAGGAAGCAATATAAAGTAAATAATAAATAATATATAGTAATATATATATATGTCTAAATAATATATATATATACATATATATGTGACAGTATGTATATATAACATCCCAGAAAGATGTGACATTTGGATCGATTGGCATACCATCAGCATGGTCCTGGAGCCTGCATATTTTATGAATTTTCCGACCGTCTTTTAGCCAACAATTCGCTGGTGGTCTGGGGCCAGGTGGTCATCATGCGGCGTTGTCTCATCATGAGGAACTGGATGTTCCCTGTTGTTTTAGTGATAGTGAAATTTGAGACAAATCCACATATTTGGACACATCCCCAACTTGGCTTTCCCAAATAAACCCGGGCTTCAGTCTGAACCACCTGACCCCAAGATCACTGATCATCTATTGGCCGAGTCTTGAAGTGAAGCATGAAGTGGCTGAGTCTATGATAGGGTATGGCTATGGAGATCTATGGAGTATCAAGGGGATGATGCGACAGCAGTCTTTAAGTGGGTTACATGGGCCGCAGCGTACATGGGGCTGACACGGGTTTTTTTCTTGAGGCAGAACCAAGGGCGCAGAACCATAGAGGATACAGTGAATCAATGATCATGGGAATGGTTGGGAGTGTCATTTGTTTTCTAATGTCCAATCCTATTGATCCCATTGGTACATGGGAATCATGGGACGATGATCCCGCCTGAATATCATGATGTATACAAGCCACTTGAACATGAAATCATCCCAATTGAAGACTTCCCTAACCAGACAGTCGCTAGCTTGTCATCCTCTGTTGATTTATCCACTTTGGTTGGTGCCTAAGAACTCCTACTGACGTCGTTGGTTTGCTACGTTTGCCTTGCTTCAAAACTATGTGCGGCCATGCGAGGAGCGTCGGAGTCTTCATCGAGGTTGGTGAAATATAGAAATGTGTGCAGATTGCAGGTTGAAATCAATCTAATCATAGCATATCTAATCTAATCTACTTATATAGAATAATCTGAAGGGCTTCTGGTGGGGAACCCTGTAGCACCTTTCTTGTAGTTTTTTATCACCCATATTCTTGGGTTGCAGGGTTGTAGTAGATATATAGCATCTTCTGCATACTTTGAACATGCAATTCCTACTTATTATTTGTTGCCATTGATATACATGATCCTAAGGTGTGGGTCAGAATTTGAGGTACGGCATACCACGGCATTGTTCGGTGAATTCACCATGCACCCTCAATCAAACACGGCTAGCTGCGCTATATTATTCTTGTTCAGCAGGTTGTTTGACAAACAGTTGAATGAATTTGAACATACATGCTTTCCTATTGGTATGCCTGCAAGTCTTAGTTTGAGCGTTTGTTTTGGTGAGCGCAGTAAGAATTGTCTTTGCCACGAAAAGCACACGTGCCCGTCTTTGACACAGAACCGCCTCCGTTCTTTGACGATCTTTCATGCTCCTCTGTAGCATGGTTTACCTTGGCCTGCCGAGCGCTGCATTGGTGCTGCACTGTTCCCATATGAAAGAACGGTGCCAGGGACTTTGCCACCAAAAGATGCGCGCTTCGTGATCGTCCCTATCATGGTGAATTCAGCCGTGTTCTATTAATACTCTTTCTTGTGGTGGACCCTTGTAACTCCTAAGTGGGATGATGACGAAAGCATGGAACATGGCATCTTGCTTTGGTTGGCAAATCTACGGGCTCAGCACGCAGCTGTGAGCTCATGTTGTGTTCCAAAACGATGGGCACTGGCGGCGCAAATTGTTTGATCCATCTTTGGGTCCGAAGAGCTCAAAGAACGGCCTGGTACCTGTCATATTTGTGTCAAAATCCGTCCTGTTCCAAAGAAGTCTGAAGGTTCGAAGTTTTAAAGGCACACATACAGTATTTTATCACACTGTGGACACCGTATTTCTTGTTCTTTGTGGATTTTATCTTTTGATGGCCTTCCCCATTTAAGTGGGGATGCGCGCACGGTGCCAGCAAAAAGGTGCTGGCGCATCACCAGTGACTTGACGCTGTTGAATATGTCTCCAAGTCGTTGGATTCTGTTAGGTACTATATAAAGTGCTGGTTAATGTGAATGTGGGTAAAACAATAAACATCAATAAACCATCCCCCAGAAAAATCACCATTTTTTGGTTGGTGGTATGTGACTACCATTCTCAGTCATGGGTGGTTTATTATTGTTTTAATCACATTACTTTGATTATTCTTGAGTTCGTTAGTCATTGCTCATGAACGACTTTAGGACTTTAGGTGCTTGCAGGATGTTCGCTTGACAAGCATTGGGACTTGGGACATACCCATACTCAAATCTACTGCGCTTTGTTTGGTAGTTCGCCGGCCGGGTTTATAGTTTGCAGCGACTTTTTAAAAGCACTGCGACCATCAAATCTGGCCTCAAATCAGGTTCGGGCTTGATTCTCACAAGAATTCATCATTAAGCATTGATGGTGTATTGTTTCTATTGTTTGTTTCAGCATGGCCAGCCTGTCCTTCAGTGAATCTCCGGCTTTTGGTGAAATCACCATAAATCCCCGAGCTGTTGGACTTCACCAGGTCCAGGAGATGCAGTTTGGTGCGAGGGCCACCAGGTGGGGCCAGATGGCATCGTGGCACTTGGAAAACGTCGCGCAACGCGATGCACCTGGCCGCGCGGCAGGTACTGGGAAAACTCACGTGGCTGCTGCAGTGGCACTTGCTGCTTCAAAGAATCTTCCTGAGAAGGACCGGCTTCCCGGTGCGGTGTTCATCCCAAGGGGACTTAAGGCGGGACCTGTCCTGGAAAATTGAGTCTGGAAATAGGAACAAGGTCAATCGGTGGATATCAGTAAATTTAACGATACCCTAGGCCCTATTTTCTTGTTTGGCAAATCGGTTCTTTCTCATAAGGTGAATTCTAGCCAAACCATTGTTTTCCACAACAAACAATGCCTCCTCAAGTGAGCAAACATAGAAACCGAATGTTTAACACAAGTCACAAGTGGTTAAGAGAAGATCTTCATTGATGTGTTTAATTGAAGTACCACAGGGTACAAATTTCTTGAGCAGATACCCCATTGATGTTCAAAAGTTTGCAACCTGATGGCCAACTACAGATTACCATGGGTTGGTGTAAAGCTGATCCATTCCTGTGGTGGTTCAGTACTTTTTGATCATGTTTGAAATCTAAATTCTATACATGCGTGGCCAAGTCCGAATTATCTTCGTTCAAATCACCAGCGTAAGGGCCCATTATAAACCATCCAGAATATAAGTCATGTAAAATCATCTAAAAATAATCTAAACTGGCAAATACCACCTTTTTTTTTTCGAGTGACATTTCAGGTCCCATTTTGTTCCGACGTCAGGAGCGCATCCTTTGCGTCACTCAGTCCCACGCCGCTGCCATGAACTTGCACAACCGCCTGGAGGAGATGAAACATATTATCTTTGGGATGGGCTATAGCTAGTTCATATGCCCATGTCGGGCCTGTTTGGTGCTGTCTTACCTCGATTTCATTGGGGCTGTGTTCTTTCTATGTGTTTTTATTCATTCTGGATTCATCCTGCTTGGAGGTCAACATGGAAAATTGCCCTTCAGACACAGCTATATAGCGTCATAGTCTTGGTTATAGTTATATTTTATAGGGCGATATTACCAGGATTTCACATAATATCTAGTAGTTGACATTGGTACCGGTATTGCTTTTTTTCAGATATACAAATGTATGTGCTTTGTTTGGTGGTTTCAAACATTTTATAATATGTATGATCATATTTATAATATACATAGGTACATATGTGTATTGTTTCATCCCTATTTGAATCATTCATCATAGATACCTACAACGTATCATTCAACAAATGCAGTTTCATGACTTTAGTCGCGATCATTCAATGACCATCAATGACATATATATCATTATATATCTAATATATAAATATATAAATGATATATATATATATATATGATACATAAATGATATATATATATAATTATATATATATACACTGTATATAATGTACATAATGTACATATTTGAGATTATGATCCCAACTAAGTCTAAGTCAGTTGGGGAGTCGCGAACTCGAGCAGTCCTTTGGAGTGGCTGTGGCTCGAGTGGGAACCACCCTGACGCCAACCGAGGCGGGCGCCGAATTCGAAGTGTTTGAGGAACTGTGGAAGCTCCAAAAATGGTTGAGTTCCACTTAGACCTAGATGGTGAAGTTGAATTGAGTTGCGATTGTTTTAAGATGTTTTAAGTTGACATAACTTGAAGTATCATTTAAGATTGATTCATTTTGGCTATTTCGATGGTGATTCGCTGTCTCGCTTTTTGTTCGGACACCAGGTGTTCCGTGACACTGGTGCCAGGTGGTACAGCAGTCCATTTTTCAAAAAGTGAAGGACTACTGGGGCGAAGATGATGACGAGGCGACTGGCTTTTGTATGCTTTTGTTTACTTTTAAACCTGGAAGATCTTGGAAGTGTGTGTGTGTGTCTGCTGCTTGGAAATAAGTACGTCATAGTACGTCTTATGATTGTTGATATTATTGTTTCTCGAGTCGTTTTTTTGTTTATGCGTTTAAGCTCTATTTTTCCTGGCAGTGGATGTGGGCTGTAAGTTGATGTATTTATATATGATATATAGGAGCCTCCAAAGGTTGGAAACATATTGCATCGTACAGATGATGTTGTGTTTTTGTTCTCTACTTTCCCGGTTTCTGGCTTCGCTATCTTCTTGGAGGTTGCTATACGATGCTATTCGTAAATAATAGATCCAGAATGAACACCAACAAAGATATTGGAAAAACAGAAGCACAATACTATACAATGCAATGATACATAATGATACTATTTCTCTGAAACACCAAATGACCTAGAAGCGTATGGCAAGCATCGTAGTGGTTGGTGGTGTCGAATATGATTGTTCATTCCATTACAGATCCTGGCCATTGCCCATCATGTTTCATCACCCTATCAGTTGAAACTCCCAAGTCCCAACGAACTAAGATGGTCAAGATGTGTCTGATTTGGAGACATGGTACCCTGCAACATAGTGTGTGTTGAATTTAGAGGTTTTACTGCAACTACGTTATATGTTTTAGACAATTAGTGTTATTTTGTTGTCTTGTCACATGTGTTGTCTTGTCACATTTGTGTTGCTTTGGAATGATAAGATCTGATAAGATTCTATAATCTGAGAATTAGTTCAAAGCAGCATGAAGCCCCAATCAATTTGGAGGTAGAAACACCCGAAAATTCCGGTGAAGTTCAATGAAACCACCTCAATGGTTTGCTCCGGTTCAAAGGTCTCTTTCATGGAGATTGCAAGTCAGGTGCCTCGAAGCCTCGGATGTTGAACGAAAGGATGGGAGTTGTAAGATCCATAAGTGGCTGAACTTCTGGAGAACTGGAGTTCTCATGATCAGAAAGAAATGATCCGTGAGTAAAGTGAGGTTTTTGGGAGTTAATAGGTAGTAAATGGATGTAAATGGACTATGGATGGCTATGGTTTATTGTTGTTTATGGTTGGGTTTATCACTACTTGATGGGGAAATCAAAAAACATATATAGATATAGATATATAAATAGGAATTTCATCAACATTAATGGATCGATCTTCTGGATCATGCTGACCGAGCCTTGGCCGAGCCAGAAAAAGGGTCTTTTTCGAGGCCATGATGGGTGTGTCTGAAAATGGGGATACCCCCAAGTGGCCATCAAATAGTAGGGAAAATGATGAGAAACCATGGGATTTGATGGATTTTGGGGGTTTTCCATATTTTTTCGACAAACCCAGATGAATTTTCCGGGCTCAGACTGACTGCGCAGGCAGGGGACTTTACAGGCAGGGCACGTGCACCTGATCTTGGATGGTTATCGCCCAAGTTCATGGATCACTAAGATAGCTGCATGTTTCATAGCTGTCATAGCTGGCTTACCTTCACACAGCTTTGGATCTCAGAAACGTGTCTAGCTGCATTTTTTAGGAAGCTGAAATGGGTGGTTGTTTGGCTTCTCCCGCGCCAAGCGTGATGGTCGTCACACTGAAGAGAAGGGGTATTCTCTTGCACAACACGCAAGAATCCTACGGAACAACATACTGAAGTGATGACAAAATGGTACTAAGCATAAGTAGTTTGCTACTGTTTTGCAAGTCCACTACAACTCACTACAACACATTATAGATCATTATAGCTATCTATAGCTGCAGCTTTTCACCAGCTTGAAGGCAGCACATGGAATTGTGAGTGTGCAGACTGAACCTAACTTGAGCAGGAGTTGAGCGCAGCAAAGACTTGCAGAAGAATCAGTTTGTCCGGAATCCGAGATATGAGTCTTGGAAGTGTCGTTTCTACATTCTGCGCCCTGCAAAGAACGTCATGCATAGATGGATATCTTTGGCAGGTTTTGCATTGCCATGATCATTTGGAGCGGCAACCAAAACTGGTACCCTCTGGGAATCCAAGATGATGTTCTGGTTTTAAAAAAACACAACAACCAACATTGATTCAACGCATGCATAATGATAAGGAAATTTGTCCAAAACCTATGAACACATTTATACAGGGGATGAACATCTCCTTGCCACGATGATGTACTCATATTATGGCATGGTCATCAAACCATTTTGTACAGATTTAAATATATATATATACCCAATTGTTCAGGATCCCCACTATGGGATGGATGACCATAAACCCCAGTAACCTATGTAACTTGACCATGCCTCATGTGATGATAACATCTAATCTAAAGCCTTGTTTTCCATCCAATGTTTGAACGGATTTGGCCTTACCCAAGTAACGAGGACAAGGCCTTGGCAAAAATCTGCAAGATGGAGCATGATTTTAATAGTAGACTAGTATAGGGTACAGTACCTGGCTGGTTGGTTGGTATTTTTCATGATTCATGTTTCGTCAATTCTTCCTTCATGCTCCATCCTGAAATGGGGCAAGTTTTTCTCCAACTCGGGCACCTCCAACAACAAGGACTCCTCAGATGATCACCGACTTGAAAACACCGACTTGGGGTACCGGATCAGCTGGATCAACTGGATCAACTATAAAAACCACCCGGTAATTTCACAGTTTGCCATGGATTTTCCATGATTTTCCCCAATGTTCGATGGTTTGATTCACCACTATATTTAAGCGTCGCTGGGAAGGCTGTGATGCGGAGAATGGTGCTCATGAGCAATGTGGCTGCACCGGACCTCAGACGCAGCGGAATGATCCCTACCTGCCATACCTACTGCTTAGATCTCCTTAGGAGGTTGTCATCAATCCATGAATTGATAGGGATATTTAGGGATTTATACCATTTTTTGAGGTTTCTCATTACGGGCTGGATGACCATAACCCATGTAACTGGTACAAATATGCGTGTATATACAGTATATAATAGTATATATATATACACGTATACACTGTATATATATATAATTGATAAAGCGTCGTGAGTCATTGTATCTTGTGGTGCCCATCTTTGTACGCAATGTGAGCACTGATCCCATGACGCTGAGTTTGCCATGAGACGACACATGTATCACGTTGTTGCATAGGTTACAAACCACCAAACCACAATCCGACAATCTACATGTTCTTAATTTTGTCCCTGGTTTCAAGCACATGTTATCTGTTATCATATTTCCATCCCCAATATATGGATACATCAAATCAGTGACTGTATTTTTAGGTGTTCAACCATTCAACCAGCACTGGAAGTGCCAGTGATTCGTGCCCAATGGACCGAACTTGAGGTTATGACTTTGGCAAGTTCGGGCAATGCGGGTCTGTGCTGAGCCCTAGTGACCTTCCAGCAGGTTCATCGGCCATGATTTTCGCCATGAATGGCCATCAATATGTGGTAATATTTGGCAATCTTCATATCCTTCCTTTTTAAAAGGGTGGACACCCACATGTTTAATCATCAATCATACAATTATACATCTTCCACGAAAGCTGATGCATGCTGATACGTAGATCCGAAAAATCTGGTACAGGTTGGATAATATGTTGAAAACATTTGTTCAGGGTTTGTTCATCAAACATGTTTTAATGGATCAGTCCTACAGCCGAAGTTGGTGATATGTTGAGTCTGTTGGTGATATGTTGAGTTCTTTGTATATGTATTATGTTGTCGATATGTATGTATATAACTATATATATACATATTCATATGTTTGTGTTTGTTGTATGCGTATATACAATATTGTATACAAATAAATGTATATATAGTATATATATAATATTTACACATATTTATAGTTCTCAGTTCACACAATATGTCTATGTGTTTGTTTTTGACTAAACAATCTGAACTGCATGCGCAAACGTGTATGATCCATGAAAGGTGAAACAATTGAAGTTCAGCACAATGAAGTTGTTAGAGAATTGTCAAAGTTTGGAAAGACATGACATGACTTGGCAACTCCACATTGACATGGACCACCAGAACCAAAAAAAACTGGGGCTATTAGGACTTCATATATGAGCAAAACAAGTCGAGGCTCTTTCCATGCACTCTGCCTGCCCAAGAGCTGATACAGATAATTCATGATAATTCTGTTTAAATGATTTTAAATGTGTGTGTGTGTGCGTGTCTTGTCTTCAGACCTGCAGAGCAACCACTCACAGACACGTTGAAGGTAAAGGCTGGTTCACATCGGACGTTTCAAAGTCAAAACGACCCCATGTGTGAAGGGCCCTGTTTGCGACAGTTTTGATTCGGATTCGGGGTGGAATGCTGCGGATGGTGAAATTCTCTGACCTAGCCAGACGTTCTGAATTTATAAGCAGAACCTTGATGCCCCAGAAAGCACAGCTTCATGCTTCATCATTCATCATGACAAAAACAAAAAAAAGAACATACAAATCAATACACTAACCTTACATATCCATACATTAACCTGGCTGATTTGGCATAGTTTCGGCCAATTTTGGGCCATTCAGGACCATAGCATCATACCCATGTCATGGATGCACCTGTGCAGTTGGAGCCAATGTCGCGCCATCTGCCGGTCCTGCCGCTGCAACGAAGCAGCCCTTTGAGCTAACATGGGAGGAGGACACGCAATGACATGCTGGCAAGTGGGGTGCATCCAAGGGATTCTGACTAGCAGTGTTTTATAGTGTTTTCGTTGAAAACGGATAGATTAATCAGTCAGAATGTGATTCGACCAAGCACAGTTGAACGAAGGAACAAAGGAACATCTCAATATACATATCATATATTAATATATATGTGCTGTAATTACATGATATCTATATAAATATATTGCTTATAGATGATCAATGTTGGCTACTGATTAGTGTGCCCCTCCCCCGGCTCAACAATTTTAGGCTACTCAATAACTCGCCATTTTCTGCCCCCCCCCCAACAATCTTTAGTGAACCTAAGTAAGGATTTCAATTGACATCAATCTACTTTCAATTGATTTTCCTTTTAAGTCCAAAAAAAAATCGCCCCAAAAGTTTTTGTGCACAATAGGGTACCATCGAAACAATTACATTATATGAGGATCTGGGTCACTCATGGGGTACCTCCTTGAAAAAATCGTTGGGTGCTGTTTTTTTTTTTAATAAGGGTTCCATAAGGCATCTAATTATTTTGGGAAACCTTGCATTTTCAAGGCTTTAAAATGGATACGGTTTTCTAAAGTAAATGGACCAGCTTTACCCAAAGAAAGGTGGATAAAGCTCCTCCTGCAAAAAAATGGACCTGAGAAAAAACTTTCCACAATAGAGCCCCACCCCCACCATCCACAAGATGCTCAATAATTTTGGGAAAAATCCACAATAGAGGTCCATCACACTAATCGGTATACTACATTATAATGGTTTGGGCAGATGAATATATGCATAATATATCAAGTTGTTCAAAGTGTTCCAATTAAAACATACATGCAACAACCGATAACCAATAACTACAAGGCTCAGAAATTACGTACACTGTTTCACCAGGGCCTGGCCATGCGCTTATGTAAAACTGGGAAGTTTGGCCAAGCAACTTTGATGTGGATGAAACAGACTTCTTTTGTGGCGGATGATGATTCAGAACGGACATATAACATAACATACTGTGTATATACAACATATGTATGCGATATGTTCCTATTATCTTCTAGTATATATTATTTTATGCTGTTAGGTATCATACATATAGATATACATTATACATGATACAATATGCACATAAATATATAATATTATATATACACACTGTATCCAGTACAGTATGTACATTGCACATAAAACATTGAGCTGGCAGATATGCTTTGTTGCCCTGGAAACTAACCTACTTTTCGCCGGGTGATGTGAAACCTGCCGGGTGCCGACCTGCGCCAGGAAAGGGGAAAGGTGGGAAGGACGGTGAGAAAGGCAAAGCTGGAAAGGATGGCAAGGATGGAAAAGGCCTGGTCAGACCTGCTGGCATTTTCAACATCACCATAGATGGGTGGTATAAACCATCCCCAAATGGTAGGTTGATTACCGCCCACATTGGATAGGACAGTTGCACCCAAACTGGGATAGTTTGGATTGTTTCTTGGAGGGCAAGATGAGATACGGGATCGATGAGCCTCCGGGCAAGGTGTTCCCAGTTCCATAGGGACAACCTTGGTTTGGACAGATGATTCCGTGGTCCATTAGTTTATTGAGCCAAAGATATCTGATTGGTGGTTTGGAACATGTTTTATTTTCCATAATATATGGGATAATCCTTCCCATTGACTACAGTAATATTTTTCAAGATAGTTAAAACCACCAACCAGACTAGTTTATTGATCCAAAGATATGGTACTCCCTTCCAGTGATTCATTGCCCATCGCCATGACTTCCGTTTTAGTGGCCACAACTTGGGGCTATACCCAGCAGTTTGGTTGAAGATTGCTCCAATGTTTGACCAAGGCGGAAAAGGAAAGAAGGGAGCTGAAGAACAAGAGGCCTGGAAGGTGACCAAAAACTAAAAAACCCAAAGACATCTACCAATAAAGGGTTAAGCTAACCACCAAAAGACAAAAAACAAAACCCTACAAATGAATAGTCTGAATCACTTGAATATGTTTGAAGTTTGAAGGTTTCCAACAAGAGCATGTGATGCCTTGATCCTTTGGGGAGAGCACTCACTCAACCTTGCCGAATTGTATGTCATTTTGCTTACATTAGATTTGACATGTTCGAATTCTGATTGAACAAATTGAACAAAACAACTTTGTTGACACGGCTTCAATCAGGGCTTCAATCAGGCTGTTTCTGTCATACTGAGAGTTGTAACCAAAGGTCTCACCTGGTCCAAACACTTCGTAGCATACATGATTTCTTCGGAGCTATACATCAGTCATGTTTAGCAGTTCAAGCTCTTCGTGCAATTCAGTCAGATTGCAAGAGAATTGTCATGTTTATTTATATATATATCATATATATGTATATATACTTTGTACTCGTATATGTATATATATATATACGTAACATACATACATATATATATATATATTATGATATGATATGATATGATATGAAAAAAAAATCCGTGTGTTTTTGCATAGATACCAAGTTTCTTCAAAATCATGGGTTTCACCAGTTTGCTCCAACGCCATCAGCGTGTCAGGACGAGGGTTTGGCAGCTGCCCTGGGGGTGGATCAGTTTGAGGAACCCGATGATAAGTGCCCTTGGAGCCTTGGCTTGGTATCCACAGGGGTCTCCAAAAATGGTTGGTTTATTTCATGGAAAATCCCAATTTAAAAAACGGATGATAACTGGGGGTAGCCCCATAACTCAGGAAAGTTCAAAATGGTTGGGGCAAAAGCTATTCATTTAGGCTATTTATCATGGCTGGAAAGGAATGGAAGAATGATGGGACAATAGCGGGATAATAACAGGATGATGATGGCATGAAGCACAATCTAGAGGCTTGCTCCAACCATCTCCAACCTATTATAGGTGCATGATACCCACAAGAGGGGAAACTTGTTGAGTTTACCTGGTTTACCTCTTTATTATCTTCACCCTCTTGTATTTGGTGTGTTGGGAGCAACCCAGTTGCTGAGACCCTCAGGTTCTTTGGCTCAAAACGGGTTTGATATGGCTTACAACCCATCATTTTTTGTATAGATGCTCTTCGTGTTGGAGAACCCAATATGTTTGGAGATATGCCCGCCATTGCGTGATGTGAACCAACGCGACATCCATTGTCGTTGTTACTTGTTTCATTCTACATTTGTTACCATACTGCATTCACTGCCAAAAGCAACTCTTTCATTCTGTGGATGTGTACCTACCAATGGAGATATTCCCACTACAATCATTATCAATCATATCCAGTCATTCTTAGATCATTTTTGTTGAAGGCTATATGTCAAAACATCATATATATATAATATTAATATATAATATATATATATATAATATTAATATATATATAATATTAATATATATATATACAATATTAATATATATATATATATATATACAATATTAATATATATATATACAATATTAATATATATATAATATTAATATATATATATATAATATTGATATATATATAATATATATACTTATATATATAATATTAATATATATAATTATATATATATACACGCAACATATCTTGCCATCCATTGAGTTTCACCGTTCCATGAGACCATCCATGATTTTTCCGGGCTCAGGTGCCAGGGCGACTACTCCGAGGATTCCAACTTCTGTGGTTCCTGCGGTCGGCCCCGTAAGGTCGCTGTGCCAATCCATGGCTTGCCGCAACGTGATATGGTTGAGACCCATGAATTATGTTGCAATTATATTTACTGCATATATATATATACTCTATATCTATATATATATATATGGTTTTCCTGAGAACCACCCCACATGCTGTTTGTATGTGTATTTACAGTATAAAACACGTGTTGTTGATGTTCAGATTTTTAGGGTTACTTACATACATTTACTTCAGTAAACATTAATGTTTCTGAAATGGTTTCAAGAGCAATAAAAATGAGTTTTGTTTTTCTCAGATATTGGTTGATGGCATGTATGCAAAACGCAAAAAACAAACTCACTGTTTTTTTAGCTTTTGAAACCCCCCCAAAAAAACTAGGGAAAACAAAAAACACATCTTTTGAGTCAAAACCAAGCATTTTCCTCAAAGTTCTGTTTTTTTGTTTTTTGGATTCCTGTCAGTTTTGGCAATTTTGAAGTGACTGGTCGGTGTATGCCCAGTATGAGGCTGTTTTATAGGAGTGGGAGGGGGAGTGTCAGTGGGCAATAATATTGTTCTAGTGTAAATACTGTAGAATACTGTAAAATATTGAAACATACTGTAAACAAATAAGTAATCAACACTGTTACCCAATCAGTTTTTAGCAGGGCTGCTCCTATAAAATGAAAATCCGACCATTTTTCTAAAAAAAATGGTCCCCAAGGATTTTTTTCCTTGAAAGGTGCCAGCCCAGATCCAAACGTGAAACCACATTTTGGGCCTTGGAAATAGCGGTTTCTATTCAGTAGGGGGTCTTTTTCCTGATCACTGGGACTCAGTGTGTTTTGCTGTCGTGGATAATCTTTTGGAAGTAGTGGTCAGTGTCCGGCTGGGTTTTCATTTTATAGGAGTGGCAAGGGGGAGTGTCAGTGGGCAATGATAGTGCAAATTAAATACTGTAACAGAAAAAGTAATCAACACTGTTAACGAATCAGCTTTTAGCAATGCTGCTCAGGCTGCTCCTATAAAATGAAAATCCGACCATTTTTCTAAAACAATGGTCCCCAAGGATTTTTTTTCTTGAAAGGTGCCAGCCCAGATCCAAACGTGAACCACATTTAATAGCGTTTTCTATTCAGTAGGCCCTACTGAGTAGGGGGTCTTTTTCCTGATCACTGGGACCCAGTGTTTTATTCTATAGTGTTTTTATTATGTATTTATGCATTTATTTATATAAGGTAGGAGTGGCAGGGGGGCTTGTCAGTAGGCAATAATAGTGTAAATACTGTAACAGATTGAAACATACTGCAACCAAATAAGTAATCAACAGTGTTACCCAATAAGCTAAAATCACGTCAAACAGTATGTTGATCCAAGTGAAGCACAAATACTTGGGTGTGAAGTGATGTGAATAATGTGAATAATTGAAAATAGTGGTGCGTGTATCTAAATTTTAAATCAATAAACTACCAGAATTAAACAAATAAACAACACAATACACATGTGTATAAATAATTATGAATAAATTACATAGTTATAATAATTATATGAATGTTTCTGAGCCTGGCCATGCTGAGGCACAGCTCCACTTGGATCAGCCTATAAAATGGAAATCCACCCCCCCTATAAAATAGTCCCCAAGTATGTTCTTTTGTGGAATGGTGCCAGCCCAGATCCAAAAAGTGAAACCAAACTTTGAGCCTTGCAAACCCAATTCCTATTCTATAGGGGGTCTTTCTCCTAATCACTTGGACTCAGTTTTTCATTCTATAGTGGATAATTTGTTCAACCTGGCGGGCAGTGTGAGGTTTGGTTTGAAGTCCAACAGGGATCATTACTACATAATATATATATATAGTATAGAGCTATGGTATATATGTATATACTGTATATACTGTATATATATATATAGCCTGTACTTGGCAGTCTTAATGGTAGAAAAAACGTAAACGTGTTTTTTTTTACAGAGCTTCTTTGTTTTTTTTTTCGTGTTTTGCCAAAGCAGTCTATTGAGGTACCAGGGCTGGCATTCATTGATGGCCAACCTCAGAGGATCAGAATGTTCTGCAAAAAAGTGGCTGGAATCAATGGAATCCAGAGGAAATCTACAGAAGCCATCAGAAGCCTATGTTTTCTTATTATTCACACAACCAACTAACCAAAATATTAGAGGCGGTGATGAGGTTTGTTCCAAGCACGCACTCGACTTCAAAGACTTGGCTTGTGTATGTGCTTGGTAGCCTCAGGACAACAACAGATTTCTGCAATCACGTTCTGTCAAAATGATTGACCCCTCAAGTGAATCAACAAGTTTGCAAAGAAATAACTCATTTGACATAGCTATGGAAAATCACATATTTTAATAGGTAAATCATCATAATTCATCTATAAGTGGGCCATGTTCAATAGGCATGTTCGATAGCCAGAGAGCATTCAACAAGGGTGACCAAACAAATGCATGTTGCGTCCACATCACCTTCCGGAATTTGTTTTTTTTTTTTTCGCCAGGCCCTGACTTGCTACAACTGTGAGAGCCACTACTTGAAAGGTGCAACCTGTGGAAATGAAATGAACATATAAATTAAATTGTGATATCCTGTACAATAATCCACAGCTGTAATCCTGGAAAAGATAGACTGACAGCTTAACAGCACATAATTGTTCATTGTTTATCCATAATTTAATTCCTCTATATAAATATATATTTTGTTTGTTTTTTGGGGGCGCAATAATTATATGTGATTATAATTATAATGTACAAACAGGCGCATATGTTAAGGCGACTTTTTGCTCTTTGAAGCGATCCCAAAGGGTGTTTTGATTGTGGTTCATGAATTTCAAGCGGTCAAGTGCATATCATTTGCGTTCGGTGAAGATTTTTATGATCATCAAGTACTGCACCCACACTTGAAACGTTGAATCTGAGAGGTTTCACAACCTTTTGGGTCCCAACGGGTCTAAAAAATCTGTCCTTCACCATCACTTGACCATGCCCGCAGGCAGCAAATTCTGCCGTAGCTGTGGCTTGCCCCGCCCGGCCATGGTGTGGATGCCAAGGGGCGCTATCAGTAATGCCGTTTAATTAGGTATGTCATGACAGGGAAAGGCACCAGTGCCAATGTATATCTATACATAGTCTAGATGTTTCATGATATTTCTTCATGGAATATTGTCTATATAACATATATATACATATGTATACATATATGAGACGCAATTTAAAGGTGAGGGATGCTGTTTATTGTGTGGATGTTTTCCCTGCATATTTGCTCGTGAAATCCCAATCCTAGGGTGTTTTTGTGGTTGGATCTTCATGTTTTTGCCAGCGGATCGAAAACCATGCTCGTAAAGCTAACGTTTTTGAGAACGTGCTAGTACGTTACTAACTTATTGTTTTGTATGAACTATTTTCAACTACGTTACTAACTTCTCTAACCACTTGCATGGGGTGGGGTGGGCTATTAGCGTCTTGTCTACGAAAAACTTCCAAGTACGTTACTAACACAACTTGCAATTAGGTTCTCATCTTCTTTTTGAAATTGCAACTACGTTGTTGGCTTTTGTAACACAACTTGCCACTACGTTCTCATCTATTCTCATCTTCTTTTTAAAATTGCAACTACGTTGTTGGCCTTTGTAACACAACTTGCAATTACGTTCTCACCTTCTTTTTCAAACTGCAAATAATTACATTGTTTTCTTTTGTGACACAACTTGCAACTACGTTGTCATCGTTTTTCCAAATTGCAACTATGTTGTTGACTTTTAAAACATAACTTGCAACTGCGTTCTCATCTTCTTTTGGAACTGCAAGTACGTTGTCATCCATTTACAACTAGGTTCTCGATGCTACTCTACTTACTCTGTAAGCTCTTCCAACTACTGTATGTAGTTGATTGTAGTTGTTGAGAACACGGTTCTGGTCTGTTTCCAATGGAGGTATATAAACCTCAATGCCACCTTACAGAAGAAGACCGTCGAAATTTTGAAACGCATCTTCTGACGGAAAAAGTGCTATTTTTGAGAGTCCACAAAGACCCTCCGATGAAAATGAGTTGTTACTGTGATAAAACCCGAAAACGCACAAATTTTGGAATCCATGTGTTTGATGTTTTTGATGACATGAATTCGCGTTTTCACCACTGTGCCATACTAGTTTTTTTATACAAATACGTGCTTTTACGAGCACGGTTTCCGGTCCGCCGGGATGTTAGGTCTGAAGCACTGGGCATTCACTGATGATAAACTGTTCCTAAGTGGTGGAGGACATCTTGAAAAACTCTGGAGTAGACAAGGCAAAGTGGCGGACAATCCTTGGGATCTTGGGTTGTTTCGAGGTGAGACCGTGGCAGCTTCACATACTGATTGCTCAGATGACAGGAAAATCTAAGGCTGTTTGTTGATCACTTTACAACTCCTATGTTCTAAGGCTGTCGCCCAGTTTTCTGTTTTTAAAATCAGTTACTCTGAAAGCCATACTTAAGGCTAAGTTTAAGACTGTTTTTTTTTGTCTGAGGTTTATATCCAAACTTAATTTACCATAGTAAACTATAGCTTGCAAGGCTTGCTACGAAGTTTACCGGTCGTCAGCTCCAAGGCTCCAAGTGCTCCAAGTGCTCCAGCTGCTCCAGGTGCCTCCCCGGATGCCAGTGGTGCCATGGTGGAAACTCCAAGTTTCAAATACAAAATGTGTATGTATATATACACCATATATCAATATGTATATATATATTGTGCATATTTATATATATACATAATTATAATTGATAGTCATTTGTATGGTACGTGTATAAATATATATATACACTGATACACACACCCTATAGCCTTCCTCGACTATTGTTTAAATAGCCATATTGGAAGTAGTGTGTATATAAATATATCGTCATGTGTATGTATTAATATATACACACATATGTTTTGATTATATTTTGGGACATGAATCAACTCCACTGTTTTTTTCTTCAGGTTCTGGCCTTTTCTGAGGGGTGGAACGCCACAACTATTTACAACGGAACCTGCAGTTCATATTTGGTTCCGAAAAGTTGGATTATGTTTAAACCTTTGAACTTAGGGAAATGACCAACATCATCCAACCTCAGTTCGACCCCAACCTGCCCTGCACCAAGGCAACCAAGGCCCTTCCGGTCCGACCACCGCGTGGGACGCCTCCGGTCCGGCTGCGGGAGCGACGAGTGCGGCGGCCTCGCACGAGCCACACGATTGGATCTATGAAGATGGACTGGTGAAGGTGAAGGGCATGGGGCATTCATGGGCACATGAGGACAGGCGGGATAGGCTTATTCTTACTGGGAAAATTTCAACAAGACTGATGATTCTGTACGTCTCACAAGATGCTTTGATAATTTTGATATGTGGTTTCGCCCCGAAATAGTGATATGACCTTGATTTTGGGAATTTGAACCTTCGCTGGACTTGCACGTGAAATACCCTCTTTTCAGAAAAACCCAACACCAAGCAAAATGGGAATATATCATGGGGTTATATAACGGGACATAGGAACAGTACTGTGTGTTTGCTTGGAAATGGATGGTTTACCCCGATTTATGCCAATTTTAGTTCGGAAAACTGTGGTTTCGAACCATTGATTGTTTGTACTGTATGATTACATTGTCCATCTTGATTGGGGGTGATGAACATGTTTCAGGTTAAAACCACCAATCAGTCCATGGTCGTTGACGAACCTTCAAGAACAGGGGATGGTCAGGGCCGTTGATGGACCCAAGACGAGCTATCCTTGATACTGGTCGGACGATTAGTCTCCACATGGAATGAGTTGTGACCCTGGCACATGCAAGCAGACTGGACAGGGTGCATTGGAAGTCCTTCAAAGGGCTTGCTAATGGAGCATGATTCAACAAATTTATGTTTATGGCAGTTGGTACTCCCACTGTCAATGTATTTTTTAGGGATCCGCGGGGGCCTTGGGTAGTTCAAATATTATGATTTGTTTGAGCATGTTTGAGCTACAGTTCAGTTAGAGAACCTTTCTTAAAATGACGACAGGACTCAGGAAGTTATACTTGGCTTTGCTTGCATAGATTCATACACTGTTGCTATCTGTTGCTGGGGCTGGTCCTTTTATATGTACTTGTAGAAGAGATTGGCAACCCCCTCCCCGCCCTTCGGTTGAACAACCGTTGGAACGTCAGTTCATAGGAGATGGCAGCCCCAGACATCAACGACTTGATTCTGAACGGTGCCTTGAGCCGACACGTGCACTCAAGCAAAGCTTGAGCTCTACGTGATGTTCTGGCTCTATGTTTTTATATGTTTTTATTGAAGATCTTGTCAGGTTGCATTGGATTACACAATTTTGACACATACCTAGATGCTTTATTTGGAAAGGGACAGAAGGATAGTGACGGATAGTGTAGAACCCATTGATATCCAATTATGGATTCCATTATGGAACCCATAGAATAGTTGTGGTAACCACTTATGACATATGGAATCCTCTTTATTACCTCACTGTCCCGGCCCTAAACATGTCCCACTATGGCGGAACTGGGGGGCAGCTCATCAAGCATTCCACTGTGGCTACATCTGAGATAGATCACACGAGGTCATTTGGTCAGGAAACAGAGGTCTACCCTGTCGTTATGGATTACAGAAAGATAGAGCCATGGTTGTTCGTGAACTTCAGATGTAGAGCTGGGAAATCTGATGAAAATTGTTGAGTCCATGACCATTGGCTGCGCCTTTGTGTGATGTTCCCACTATCATCCCAAGCCAAGATTAACTTCACCTTCCAAGCCCATTGCTAAGGTGACGATGCCTGGCCAATGAGGGATATGTGCAGGCAGGTGTTGTCACGTTTTCACCGCCTCACGTTTTCACCGCCTCAGATCTGTGCGGACATGGTGTTGCTGAAGCTGTTAGAAGAGAAGATTATTGGAAGAACATGTTTCAGCAGATCAATCAGTCACTTGAAACATTGAAATACATAAGTTTATACATAAGTTTATACTGTCATCTAGAAGATGGCCCCATTTTGACACTGCAGCTGTGAGTTATCGCTGCACAGCTATCTCAATTGACGGCAAGTACCCAACAGGCCAAAGAAAGAATCTCCTTGAATCATGAATCATGACTCATGACTTGCTGGAATGTTTGATCAAACCCACCTTTCAATCCCTTTCTCATAGGTAGAGTCTTAGATGCTGGGCATGGCATGCTGGACGATTTTCCAGTGGCAGGACCGTGGAAAATGCCTTGGATGTGCCCTACTATCCCATGATGCAAGACCTCAACGTGAAACTCAACCAGATGAGGTCGCGCTGGTCTCAGCAATGGGATGTAAGCCCCACTAATTAGGCCATGCAACTTCTGTTCTGGTCACCAAAAAAAGCAGATTAAACTGCAAATTTCCAAGCTGTGGATACCTTAGATACCTTAGAAGCTCTAATGGGGTCCATATTTAAGCAGCCCGCTTCACTCACAACAATCATGGCCGGGGATAAAACCTGATAACTTACAAAGAATAAGTCTGACAGCCCAAGGTATCGGCCACTTACCCCACTACAGCTCCCGTGGTCATCAATGCAACCTCCATTTTAGTTGACTGGGGAATTCTCAGATTCCCATATTTGGCGGTGCAATCGGCATCCCCCACTCTAAGGACAACTGTTGTTGGGACGAAACTCAGTTTCGTTGCTCAAATCTGTTGAAATCATCCAAACTCGTGCTAAGATCATACAACATTATGCAAAAACCATCCAAAATTCTCTAAAATCATCCAAGAAAATTCCAAGAAAAGCATCCTTCTTCTTTGGCACCTCTGGGCAGGGGTCGCGTGGATTTCGCCTCCGCCGAGAAACAGCGCTGGCGCGGCGAGCGCCGGGAACTGCGGGACCGCGATCAGCGGGGGAATGGGAATGGGATGATAACGTTAACGTTAACGGTTTCATCAGTATGGGTCATTCCCTCATTCTGCACCAGTAAGCCATCGTATGGTGCCAAATATATCCAAATCATTCCAAATATATAATTATATATACATAGTTTTATATATAATATGAATCCCTACATCTGCCATGGTTTCTTATGGGTGCTTAATATAAAACGGGGGAAGGGAATATGATTGGGGGATACTGATTTGGATATAATTCCTACTGAAATGGAACTGTCATGGGGATATAGCCGTCATGGGGATAATGACCATGAATAGTGAATACTCATCGGGGTATACGGGGATTGCAACATATAACCAGCGAATGGCAAACCCAAATTGGTATCCTAGTGAGTTGGAAATTGCAGTCAGTATGTTGTGATTTTGAACAATCTATACCAATCTATACCAATTGTAAGTGTCTAATGTCATTTAATGTCTAATAATATTGAATATGGGAAGACATTTGTGCAATCAGAATGCTTTGGTTAATACCACCCACTTCAAGTCATGGATGTGATCACCAGGTGGTCATTTACCGGAGGTAGTCTGACTTGGTATGGGCCTTGTTTTCCGAAACATGTTGTAAATGTTGGGTTTCAATAGGTTTCATCAATGTTAATCATACCTGTTCCATCGATTGTTGATATGTCGCATATGTTTGCTTACCCCTCTTCGGGGAGTCATGCAAAAAAATCGCTGAGGGGATGAACCATGATGAATCCCATCCAGGAGAAATGTTTGGATTTGCAAACGCAAGTGGAGGACCGGTCACCATGGATGCAGGGCCGGATGCAGGGCCATGGTGCCAGATATGGAGTGTCTCACAATGGAATGGCTACGTGGGGTGTTTCAATCGTTGGAGAACAATGTGGATTGGGCTGAAAATAGGATGCCCCCAAGTTTGATCAAATTTCATGGTTTATCATCCATCATGTTCCGTTTTAAGGATCCTCTTTCGGGCAACTTGGATCAAGTTGGTGATGTATCATATTCATAATATATACATATATACAGTATATATATAATATATTTATTTATATTTATCCCATTGCTACATAGTTGGTTCATATTGGTTATATATTTGGTGGTTCCCAAACTGTGGGTACCCCTTTCCATGGATGGTTTTTTTAGATGGGAAAATCCTTTTATAAAATAGATGATTTGGGGGTAGCCCTATTCTAGGAAACCTCCACTTTGGTCATTATGTATGCCATGAAGATCGAAGATGATCGAAGTACATCCCCATGAGTCTCCCATCTGGTTCACCAGGCCGCCGGCACAGGAAGAGAAGGACAAAGCCTTGCAACGTGCCACGCGGGTCGCGAATCACTCCCTGGCAGTGACGCTATCTGGAGGAGGCGGCATGGAGACGGGGATGAAGTCCGGTTGGATGATGTGAAAATATGTGAAAATTAGATGAACTTAGTCCAGTTACTCGCCCCCAGACCGACAATGTTGCTTAAATCATGTTAAATCCTCATAGTCTCCATCCAACATCCTCATCCCATGTGTGATGGTGGAATCGATCCAACTCCCACATTATATCTATATGGTTGTCTATGGTTAATAGGGTGGAAAATCAAAATCCACGTAACCGTGCTGATTCATGCGGACATTTACGCACGATTGCCCGAATTTGCCCCCAGTCTTGTTGATGAAATCGTCTGAAATTATCTGTTAAATCCTCAAACAGACATCATTCCATCTATTCATGGATATGAAACATAATATGAAAACATCATGTTGATATGTTGATAATTTCATGTTCATATCCAACAATGTATGTTGAGAATAAATCTGTTAAATCCTCAAATTGAATGTCGAATTTCATGTCCATATCCATCCAACATGCCCATGGATCCAGGACCGAGGTCGCGAGCCACGATGCGCATGGCAGCAGGTGCTTTGGAGTTGATGGACGCCAACGAACAGGACCCTGGGATACCCTGGGACCCGGAAACTGCAGCTGGTTGCTGGTTTAACCAACAAAAAATGGCATCTCCAGAATTGGAAATTGGATGTGAAGCGACCAAAAAAATTGGTTGGACCAATGATCAGCGACAAATTTTGACCGAAAAAGTGGTTTTAAGTTTTTGACGTTGTCCAGAAAAAAGTGGGCTATACGGTCCTGTGATAATGATGTTTGACTGACAAAGGCACTGGAGTTTATATATTATATATGTTTACTCAACCAACAAAAATTGGCATTATGATCATGAAATTGGGCCTTTGATATGATTTAACCATGTAAAGAATGGGAGTGCAACGAACCAAAATGGGGGAGCAGAACCCAAGCACAACACTGGTGGTTGATGGTTTCAACATGTTTCAACCATGTGTTGTATCGGTTGTAAGTTGCATCCGCTAGGCGGTTGTAAGTTGCATCCGGTAGGTGGTGTGTTTCACCACCAGCTGAAATGTAGAGGACGCTGGGCCCATTGACACCGCCGCCAACATGATTCTCAAGTGGCTCTGTCAGCAGATGATCAATATGAGTATCTTTAAGTATCAACTCAATGCTAGCGTTGTCCTTTGTGTACTGTACTTCAAGACCAAATTTTCGGTAGTCGTGGACCTCTCGCCTTTGGTCACCGAGTAGATACTGTTGATCTTCCTGTCATCCCCATCTTCACATGGCTGTTGGTTTGGTGTCTTCTAGATCCACCGGGTTGGACACTTTTTGATTAACTTCCAAACCCAATTCTAGTTTTCTGAACTTGAACTGCTCCTTGCATCATTCTGCATGTTCCATCTCAGGTTAATTCTTACATCATGTGGATGGGCCAGCGAAATCCTGCACCACCTTGGTTGAGACCCTATAAAATCATGGGATGTTTATCAACTGCTGCAGGATTTCGCTGGCCCATCCACCGTGACGGCTGACAGAGGTCACGTGTTGGCGGCTTTTTGATGTCCTTGGCACGGTCCATCATTCCATTGCAGTCCGACGCTCCATGGCTGGCACAATGCTTTTTGAGCGATGGAAAAGAGGATATAATTATGGAATATATCAATATGGAATATATATCATGAAACCACAAATGAATTATGGAATAAATATCATGATTATGGAATATATCAAATATAATTCTGGAATATATATCATGAAACCATCAATGAATTATGGAATATTTGATATAATTATTTTGATATAATTCTGGAATATTTCAAATGAACCAGAAATTAAAAAACAATATGGAATATATCCCATATATGGCCTGGACTGCAGGTCACGCTTTCCAGGATGCCAAGGTTTTGACCCATACCCATGTTTGGCAAGGAAACCAAACATGTTGTTCCACAATGTTCTACATGTTTATATATATATATATATTTGTATAATAATAGCAATAATAGTAACAATAGTAATTAATTGTTATTATTATTATTGTTATTATTATATATATATAGATATATACATCATCGCGTGTGTGTGCGTGTGTGTGTGTGTGTTGTTTTCTTGACAGACTGGTGGAGGCTCCGTTGCCAGGTCTCCTGTTGGTCATGTCACCGATGTCCATGAAGTCCTGGGCATTGCGACCTCACTGGAAGTGAAAGGTTCGTAGATGCGAATGTTCCACAAATGGCCAAACTGTTCATTATTTCAGGTTAGTGAACTATTCTATATCATTCTATCCTATAGTTTAGATATCTTTTGAATGCAGCTAATAGTGACAGAACTGCTGTGGTAGTCTCAGTTGCCTCCCAACAAACCGTGAGGTTCAGAATATCTCCTCGCAGTTTGGGAGCAGCTGTGGCACATTTTTCAAGTTCTACTCCTATTTGCTGTGCCTTGGAACAAGGACACGACGCGGCTCTAGAAAGGGATCCGGATTAGGGATGATTTGGGATCGTCTCTGAAACTGGCGGAATGGACCTTGCGGAAGCGTTCCTCAATGCTATTGATTGATTGATAAAACCTAAGAATTGCCAATGGAATCCACTGGATGTGGCTGCCAGTTTCATAAACCATTCCCAATGACTTGCCATAAATGGATGGGAAAAACCATGGTAGGACATCTCTCCCCAGATGGGTGAAACCCCTGTGGGTTTGCTGATGGCACCCATCATCCCAGGTTGTTAGCTCTTTTTGCTGCCGCAGCCTTTGCTCCGTTGATCCTCTCGCAGTCCGAGAAGTGGCAGAGCTATGATGCCAGGAAAACTTCGCCATTTCTGGCAATTTTGAATCAGGTCAATGGGGAAAATGAATGAAAATGATATAGAATGAAAGTGAAGCGCCTGTTTTTCAGGTGATCGGAGATTCAGAGAAATCCACATGGTTCCGGAATTGACGTCAAAAAAAGGCACCAATTTTGCCTTTGCACATGTTTTGACTCTGACAGGATCTGTGGCTATTTGCCCTGTGCGTTGTTTCTGGGCAGCTTCTATCAGTCCACTGCTGATCCGGAGGACCGATCAGCTTGTTGAAATCACGACTTGACCACTTCATTCGACAGTCCCTTAGATCCCTTAGGGAATTTGAAGCCTAGACAGGTCAGATGTGGTACATCAACGGATGGACCATCAAGAAAGGGGCACCTAAATGCCGTACAAGATTTCGCCATCATCTCACCTACTGGATCATGAGGGTTGGATCTATGGCGCGACAGGAACAGTGGCTAACTGCATTGGACCTTCGGGTGCATTCCAATGGTTCACTGATTGCGCAGACTGACATTGGGCAAAGTGCCTTCAATAGCCAGTGCCTTTGCTCAATTCGTCAAATTCGTCATCTCATCCTTGACATGAAATCTATCATCCAACCATCAGCAACCACCATCAATCATAAAGAGTCTAATACCTGGAACTCATGAGATGCCATGCGATTATCATCGATTAACTATGATTATCTAATATGATTAGCTAATGAAATACTGTATGTATATATATATGAAACTATCATTGTTAATGCGAATCTTACTATTATCATCTATTATCATCAAATGATCATAATTAACTATTATGATTAGCGTTGATTAGCTAATGAACCTATATGAAACCATTACATTAGAGGCTAATCTTATGATAATCATCAACCAATCATAAGATTAGCCAATTGGGTAATATATCAACCACCAATTATGGTTTAACCAATTATTAATTCAATTATTAATATCAACCACCACTTGGGAATTTGAAGAACCACCACTTCCCTATGCTGCGCCAAGGTTTGCAACTTGCCCTATGCTGCGCGTCTTGACGGCAGCGGATAGCCACTTGGGATCCCTAGGGGATAGCCATCGAAAAAGATGGTGGGAAAACCCCATGGTTTCAACCCATGGTTTCCCTAGGAAAATAATCCACATATTACAGGAGGGTCATCAAATGATGTCATGTTTTCCAATCATGACATCCAATGGTGTTATGTTCCAATCGTCATCATCCGGTGGTGCAATAATGATGGTTTTGTGTTTTCAATGGGGAATATATGTCTCAATGTATGGTTATTTTAACAGAGCTAATGATTTTTAAAATCGTGGGATTCGCGGGTACCCTATATTCAGACAAACCTTTTGGGGGCAGGAACCGTTCAACAAAGTGAGATCAAATATATTCAAAAATCATGCTGTGTATATCTCAAATGTCTAATTTGTTGGTAAGTGTTCGACATCACCTGCGAGTTTGGTGTGCATTGAACACAGGACTGGTGTCTACCTTGATTGTCGTTTCGCTCATACTTGGGATACTCTTGGGACTCTTGGGATTATTTTATTTTAGGAGTAGACACGGGTAGACAAGTCAGTTCATGTCCGTCATAGCATGTAAGGATATGTAAGGCATACTTGAAACCAGTATCCAAATTTCATTGCTGCAGATATGATAGGTGAAGTTGATTTGTTGAAATCGCAACAGCTGTGCTTTGCATTGTGCCATGATGTGTTCTGTTTACGATGCGATTTTTAGAGGTTCAAACCTTCTACTACATGGAGTGTCTTCTCAGCCTAGGTTTTGTCCGAGACTGCCGTGTGTTTGCAGTCTTTGCTGGATTCATAGACAATACTTCTGGTTCGAGTGCCTACGAGGCGGGTTGGAACATGGGGGAAAGGAACCTTCGGACTATGGATGACTGTGTTGAACCCCAAATAGAGGCGAACCTTGGAAGAGAAATAAATGGGTCCCGAACTTTATCCATATAAATTCGCAGATTGACTTGGGAATCGATTCATATTTTACTGTTACTAGTAGATATTATATCAATATGTATACACATATTGACATAGTCTTGTAATTATGTAAAATTATATATACACAATGTACATATACAATTTTTACAATATTATGAAATTATGATTATATAATATAATGTATGTATATACACACACAGACACCAAAGGTACTATTGTTTAATATGCCGCCGCCATCTTCCCTCTGCAGATCTTCACCAGCTCCTGGAAAGACATCTCGGGCACCCAGAACGAGGACATGGGAAAAAAAAAGAAAAAACATAATGTGGATTTTAGTTAGATGTCATTTGGATTTGTTCATGAGATGTTTCATGGAATATTGGAATATAGCAAACTTCATGAACTTGGTGATGTATTAATGGTAGTAGTAGTAGTAGTAGTAGCAGTAGTAGCAGCAGTAGCAGCAGTAGCAGCAGTAGCAGCAGTAGCAGCAGTAGCAGCAGTAGCAGCAGTAGCAGCAGTAGCAGCAGTAGCAGTAGCAGCAGCAGCAGCAGTAGTAGTAGTAGTAGTTGGCTTGTTTTTCGGAAACTGGATATACTCCATAAACAGCAAAAAACACGACATTTTGAGAAGGACAATTTAATACAATTTATGAGAGCGTGATGGGATTCTCGGTATGGGATCTCTCCAAGCTCAGGAGGACATGGTTTGTTTTTCAATGATTCTGTAGGATTATGATTCATATATCCATGACAGAACTGCACAATTTGATCTAATTATCTATAATATATGTGTTCAACGTACTCCGTCACTTACGTTCTCTCTATCCTCTTAATAGTACGTATACACCAGGTACGAACCTTTGTCGGGAGTATAGATCAATAGGTTTTGAACATACATGCATCATACATCATCATACATACATCATACATACATCATACATACATCCACATAAATATATATATACAGTATATATATTACATCAAACCTATGCGACTGCACCTGAATTCGAACACAAGCATCGAGTCTCAGGACTGGGTCATTTACAGCCGATTCGCTGACTTGGTGCAGGCGGTGTGATGCTAACGGAGGTGTGTGTATTTATTTGTAATGGGGGTTAAGACACGATGTATTTGTAATGGCCCTGCTGAAGCTGCTAATTCTTTGTTTATATTTTTTTAAATCTGGATCATCCGCATTTTGTTGGTGTAGCGATCATCTATTGTTCTTATGAGGTTTAGAGCCTCTATCATAGGCTTCCCATGGGATAACCGTGCCAAGAAGTGTCACATAACATCAGCCATGTGCGTATGAGTCGATTTGTTTCACACCAAGAAGTCAATGGTTTGTCATTTCTGGTATCATTTGTATATTCGCGTGGACAAATATGTGAGGTTCAGGCACGATTTCATCCCCCCTGGCATGTACCCTCTGGTAATTTAACATAACTATGGAAAATCACCATTTTCAATGGGAAAATCCACTATAAATGGTCATTTTCAATAGCTATGTTAAATTACCAGAGGGTACATGTTCTCAAAATTGTGGGGATTCCTTTATCATCGATATCATTCTGTGATGACAAAACATGGCAAGCACAAACACGCGTTTTGGTTTTGAAGGACACATTGTGAGATCCCGCTGGAATTGTTACCGGCCCAGCATAAAGATTCTACGCTAATTCGTTATTTTATGTTATTTTGGATTGTCTCTTCAGATAGGGTGCATATCCCATTTATTCGTTTCATGATCATTATAACATATTATAACCCTATCCAACATGGTAATGTTTTTGGGTATACGCTTGCGGTATAGCCATTGACAGACATACCCAGGCAGAGGAACCTTGGCCCAGCTGCATCTTGGCGGGGTATTCTGTAGCTGAATGGCTCTGTGAAGAGAAGATAAAAGGCTATGGTTAATAATGGCTTAATAGTGGTTAATAGTGGCTTAATAGTGGTTAATAGTGGCTTAATAGTGGTTAATAGTGGCTTAATAGTGGTTAATAATGGGTTAATAGTGGTTAATAATGGCTTAATAGTGGTTAATAATGGCTTAATAGTGGTTAATAATGGCTTAATAGTGGTTAATAATGGCTTAATAGTGGTTAATAATGGCTTAATAGTGGTTAATAATGGGTTAATAGTGGTTAATAATGGCTTAATAGTGGTTATAGTGGCTTAATAGTGGTTAATAATGGCTTAATAGTGGTTAATAGTGGCTTAATAGTGGTTAATAGTGGCTTAATAGTGGTTAATAATGGCTTAATAGTGGTTAATAATGGCTTAATAGTGGTTAATAATGGCTTAATAGTGGTTAATAATGGCTTAATAGTGGTTAATAGTGGCTTAATAGTGGTTAATAATGGCTTAATAGTGGTTAATAATGGGTTAATAGTGGTTAATAATGGCTTAATAGTGGTTATAGTGGCTTAATAGTGGTTAATAATGGCTTAATAGTGGTTAATAGTGGCTTAATAGTGGTTAATAGTGGCTTAATAGTGGTTAATAATGGCTTAATAGTGGTTAATAATGGCTTAATAGTGGTTAATAATGGCTTAATAGTGGTTAATAATGGCTTAATAGTGGTTAATAGTGGCTTAATAGTGGTTAATAGTGGCTTAATAGTGGTTAATAATGGCTTAATAGTGGTTAATAATGGCTTAATAGTGGTTAATAGTGGCTTAATAGTGGTTAATAATGGCTTAATAGTGGCTTAATAATGGCTTAATATTGGTTAATAGTGGCTTAATAGTGGTTAATAGTGGCTTCATAGTGCTTAATAGTGGCTTAATAGTGGCTTAATAATGGCTTAATAGTGGTTATAGTGGCTTAATAGTGGTTAATAGTGGCTTAATAGTGGTTAATAATGGCTTAATAGTGGCTTAATAATGGCTTAATATTGGTTAATAGTGGCTTAATAGTGGTTAATAATGGCTTAATAGTGGTTAATAATGGCTTAATAGTGGTTAATAATGGCTTAATAGTGGTTAATAATGGCTTAATAGTGCTTAATAATGGCTTAATAGTGGCTTAATAATGGCTTAATAGTGGTTAATATTGGCTTAATAGTGGTTAATAATGGCTTAATAGTGGTTAATAGTTGCTTAATAGTGGTTAATAGTGGCTTAATAGTGGTTAATAATGGCTTAATAGTGGTTAATAATGGCTTAATAGTGCTTAATAATGGCTTAATAGTGGTTAATAGTGGCTTAATAGTGGTTAATAGTGGCTTAATAGTGGTTAATAGTGGCTTAATAGAGCTTAATAATGGCTTAATGGTGGTTAAGAATGGCTTAATAGTGGTTAATAGTGGCTTAATAGTGGTTAATAATGGCTTAATAGTGCTTAATAATGGCTTAATAGTGGCTTAATAATGGCTTAATAGTGGTTAATAATGGCTTAATAGTGATTAATAATGGCTTAATAGTGGTTAATAGTGGCTTAATAGTGGTCAATAATGGCTTAATAGTGGTTAATAATTGCTTAATAGTGCTTAATAATGGCTTAATAGTGGCTTAATAATGGCTTAATAGTGGTTAATAGTGGCTTAATAGTGGTTAATAATGGCTTAATAGTGGTTAATAATGGCTTAATAGTGGTTAATAGTGGCTTAATAGTGGTTAATAATGCTTAATAGTGGTTAATAATGGCTTAATAGTGGTTAATAATGGCTTAATAGTGGTTAATAATGGCTTAATAGTGGTTAATAGTGGCTTCATAGTGCTTAATAGTGGCTTAATAGTGGCTTAATAATGGCTTAATAGTGGTTATAGTGGCTTAATAGTGGTTAATAGTGGCTTAATAGTGGTTAATAATGGCTTAATAGTGGCTTAATAATGGCTTAATATTGGTTAATAGTGGCTTAATAGTGGTTAATAATGGCTTAATAGTGGTTAATAATTGCTTAATAGTGGTTAATAATGGCTTAATAGTGCTTAATAATGGCTTAATAGTGCTTAATAATGGCTTAATAGTGGCTTAATAATGGCTTAATAGTGGTTAATATTGGCTTAATAGTGGTTAATAATGGCTTAATAGTGGTTAATAGTTGCTTAATAGTGGTTAATAGTGGCTTAATAGTGGTTAATAATGGCTTAATAGTGGTTAATAATGGCTTAATAGTGCTTAATAATGGCTTAATAGTGGTTAATAGTGGCTTAATAGTGGTTAATAGTGGCTTAATAGTGGTTAATAGTGGCTTAATAGAGCTTAATAATGGCTTAATGGTGGTTAAGAATGGCTTAATAGTGGTTAATAGTGGCTTAATAGTGGTTAATAATGGCTTAATAGTGCTTAATAATGGCTTAATAGTGGCTTAATAATGGCTTAATAGTGGTTAATAATGGCTTAATAGTGATTAATAATGGCTTAATAGTGGTTAATAGTGGCTTAATAGTGGTCAATAATGGCTTAATAGTGGTTAATAATTGCTTAATAGTGCTTAATAATGGCTTAATAGTGGCTTAATAATGGCTTAATAGTGGTTAATAGTGGCTTAATAGTGGTTAATAATGGCTTAATAGTGGTTAATAATGGCTTAATAGTGCTTAAGAATGGCTTAATAGTGGCTTAATAATGGCTTAATAGTGGTTAATAATGGCTTAATAGTGGTTAATAATGGCTTAATAGTGGTTAATAGTGGCTTAATAGTGGTTAATAATGGCTTAATAGTGGTTAATAATGGCTTAATAGTGGTTATAATGGCTTAAATATTGGTTAATAATGCTTAATAGTGGTTACTAGTGCTTAATATAGGGTTGTATGTGGCTTAATAATAGTGGTTAATAATGGCTTAATAGTGGTTAATAATGGCTTAATAGTGGTTAATAGTGGCTTAATAGTGGTTAATAGTGGCTTAATAGTGGTTAATAATGGCTTAATAGTGGTTAATAATGGCTTAATAGTGGTTAATAATGGCTTAATAGTGGTTAATAATGGCTTAATAGTGGTTAATAGTGGCTTAATAGTGGTTAATAGTGGCTTAATAGTGGTTAATAATGGCTTAATAGTGGTTAATAATGGCTTAATAGTGGTTAATAATGGCTTAATAGTGGTTAATAATGGCTTAATAGTGCTTAATAGTGGCTTAATAGTGGTTAATAGTGGCTTAATAGTGGTTAATAATAGCTTAATAGTGGTTAATAATGGCTTAATAGTGGTTAATAATGGCTTAATAGTGCTTAATAATGGCTTAATAGTGGTTAATAATGGCTTAATAGTGGTTAATAATGGCTCAATAGTGGTTAATAGTGGCTTAATAGTGGTTAATAGTGGCTTAATAGTGGTTAATAGTGGCTTAATAGTGGTTAATAATGGCTTAATAGTGGTTAATAATGGCTTAATAGTGGTTAATAATGGCTTAATAGTGGTTAATAATGGCTTAATAGTGGTTAATAGTGGCTTAATAGTGGTTAATAGTGGCTTAATAGTGGTTAATAATGGCTTAATAGTGGTTAATAATGGGTTAATAGTGGTTAATAATGGCTTAATAGTGGTTATAGTGGCTTAATAGTGGTTAATAATGGCTTAATAGTGGTTAATAGTGGCTTAATAGTGGTTAATAGTGGCTTAATAGTGGTTAATAATGGCTTAATAGTGGTTAATAATGGGTTAATAGTGGTTAATAATGGCTTAATAGTGGTTATAGTGGCTTAATAGTGGTTAATAATGGCTTAATAGTGGTTAATAGTGGCTTAATAGTGGTTAATAGTGGCTTAATAGTGGTTAATAATGGCTTAATAGTGGTTAATAATGGCTTAATAGTGGTTAATAATGGCTTAATAGTGGTTAATAATGGCTTAATAGTGGTTAATAATGTTTTAATAATGGTTAATAATGGGTTAATAGTGGTTAATAATGGGTTAATAGTGGCTTAATAGAATGTTTATGATTGTATATCTAGCATATGTGTGTAAAAGAATTGTACGGATATATTCACATACACACATACAAATACACATACAGTATAATATACATACACATATACATATACATACACATATACACACACATATACTCATATACTCATATACATCTTGTACACAATTACATATACTTACATAATAATATACATGTATATACATATATTTATACATACACATACAAATATACACACGTATACATATACACATACACGAATTTACACATATACATATAGACATGTAAACATGTACAGATGTATATCATAAATACATACATACATACATACATATATCCATCCATCCATGCATGAATGCATGCATACATACATAATCATACATACATAGTCATACATACATAATTATACATGCATAATCATACATACATACATAATCATACATACATAGTCATACATACATAATTATACATACATAATCATACATAATCATACATAATCATACATAATCATACATACATACATACATACATACATACATACATACATACATACATACATATATCCATCCATCCATGCATGAATGCATGCATACATACATAATCATACATACATAGTCATACATACATAATTATACATGCATAATCATACATACATACATAATCATACATACATAGTCATACATACATAATTATACATACATAATCATACATAATCATACATAATCATACATACATACATACATACATACATACATACATATATCCATCCATCCATGCATGAATGCATGCATACATACATAATCATACATACATAGTCATACATACATAATTATACATGCATAATCATACATACATACATAATCATACATACATAGTCATACATACATAATTATACATACATACATATATCCATCCATCCATGCATGAATGCATGCATACATACATACATACATACGTACGTACATACGTACATGCATACATGCATACATGCATACATGCATACACGCATACATGCATACATGCATACACGCATACACGCATACACGCATACATGCATACATGCATACATGCATACATGCATACATGCATACATGCATACATGCATACATGCATACATGCATACATACCTACCCACCTACCTACATACATATATACATAATCATACACATATACATAATGATACATACTCATACATACTCATACCTACTCATACATACTCATACATACTGATAGTTACTCATACATACATAATCTTACATACATACATACATAATCTTACATAATCATACATAATCATACATAATCATACATAATCATACATAATCATACATAATCATACATAATCATACATAATCATACATAATCATACATAATCATACATACACAAAGGAATACACTTGTATGTGAAAGCACAATATTGTGTGAATGGAACCCTCATGCTGCTTTTGGTTGCTGACGCTGACTGGGTGTTCTGTTTGGCGGAGGTATGTAAGTAGATGTTCCATCCCAAATTTATCAAAAGCACATTGTAGCAATTTGATGTTCTTTTTGTCCGGGGTTGCAACATTGTGTTTGCTTTGTCATTTCTGACATGCATCATGCTATACTCCAATGATTATGCAGGGATATACTTATATCATCTTATACGTATACCCGTATACCCCACACGCAGTTACATACTGCTAGAGACAGATTGCTGTTCATAACCAGCACCCAGCTGTTGGTCAGTTGGCGGAGGTAGCACCAGCAATGGTCAGGGATTTCCCGGTAACTGTTTGCCCAAGAATGTGCAGCTGAGCGGCAGGCGCTCGAAAAATCCACTGGACTGGGATTTTTTTTTCATCCAACTTGGGGAGAAATGCAAAGATTGACCCCCACGGTGATGTGGAAGGGTTCCGGTTCAGGCCGTTTCATGGTTCTTTTCTTTGAGAGCCAACTTTGCGCAGAACTACCTTTCGCCTATTGTTTCGTTGACATTTGTTTGGCCAGCGGTGGATGCAGTTGGGGCCCTGGAAATATACATGAGCTGGGCAAGAAGCAAACAAATAGATACCCTGTAAACATGTTTTATTAATTGTGACATCCCCCCAGTTTTGTCTACCTTTTAGGTAATTTAAGAGTTTGCCATGGAAAATCACCATCAAACTATATTAAAACTATTATTTGTTTTTAAATAATCATAGTTGATTTCCAATTCATAGGATTCATACTCTATGCATATCCCATTTTTAGCGAAAAGTCAGCTTCGCGGCCCGCGCAAGCGGCGCGCCAGGTGGTTTGGCCTCGGCGGTTCCTTCAACGGCTCCATGCCATCCTTTGGCTTTCAACTGGAGCTCTTCAATGCATCCAGGCACCAGAAGCTGGAGGGCAGGCAGTAGGCAATTTGAAAAAGCACAACCATATTCTACTCTATATATATATAATTGTATATATATAATTATATATATATATGTGTATATGTATAGGAAGAATAATCCATAATATCCATATCCATATTTGGACTATCCTTGTTATAACCCAGGTGTATTCCATATTTGGGCTATCCTTGTTATAACCCAGGTGTACATATGATTTTATGGATATATATATATATACCATATTATGGATATGTAGAAGAATAGTCTAAAATCACAGTGTTGTTTTAACACCAGCGGGACTTGCTAAGTCGTGATGCAAGTGGAAATGCCGATGTTTGTCGGTGTTTACCTTATATATACTTATGTACTGCAATTTGTTTCATCAAATGAACAAACATGTTGTCTTTCGGTGAAGCATTGGTAAAAGTTCTTGGATGTGAATCTTCTTTGTATATTCCTACTAACCGTGTGGCACAACCCAGTCTATTGATCGGATACACCCCAGAGTTTATTTATATATATATTTATATATACATACTCGGATATGTATATATACATATGTGATTCATATGATATATATATATATTGTGTATCCACACATTGTGTATTCACTCAGCCCTTGCAGTCACCCTTGGCAGACCAGGTGTTTCGCAAGCAGCCGCTCAGACATCCGCAACATGGCCGGGGGTATCCCTGTGACCTTCGACGCTTGGAGACAGCAGCCTAGATGGGTCATATGGTACTAGATGGGAACTGTTGTTAATGTGGGTAAAAACAATAATCAACCACCCATCACCCAGTCGACTGGGAATGGTTTTTAGCACCTATAAAAATGCTGATGACTGGGGGATGGTTTATTTTTGTTTTAGTCACATTAGTTGGTTTTTTGTCCCCCTTCAACAGACTAAACTCCGAATTGATGGTGCTTCGGTAGCATCTTCTATACCTCCTTGGGTTTCATTTCTCACCCAACCAGGTGGTGATTCATAGTGCTTGACCCCAGGACCAGAGCAGCAAAGACTTAAACGTGGCCTTTTGGTACGTCTTCGGCAACATGGTGCGACGGCAACGTACCGAGTCGTGTTTCTTTTCTTGTCGGTAAATGCCTGCAAGGTCCACTGAAAATCACCCAGTATGATGAAATTCATGGATGTTTGCTGATACTGTTTGTTCAGACATGATGGTTCCGTCGCATCTTATGGATCCTTGGAGGTTTCCGCGCCGGTGAGCGATGGAGTTATTCAGCAGATCATTGTGACCAGACAATTCTGAGGTAGACCCGATGATGCTGCCCTAGTGTTGAGATGGAAAGTTCGCTTTTTGCCAGTGCTGCCAGTGTTTTCCTGGAAAAAAACCTGGAAAAACCATCTATCAGGGAGATACCATCCAACATCATCCAACCAATGGGCCTTGTTTTGGACCATCCGAAGATGGCAGGTGTCCATCGTTTTCGCGGTCTTCTTCGTGCTGGTTTGGTGGCAAATCTCGGAGGCGATGACATGGTGCCCCGGGGAGATGTCAAAACGGACGGCCCCGGGGAGATCTTTGAGGAAATGATCCAATGACAAGAACTAAAACCCCTAGGAAAACAATGGAAAACATACATTAGTATTACATTACTTTGAATTATATAGTTTGAAAGTTTGCAGAAGTGAAGCATCTGCATGATGAATTAACTTATCACATGATCGGGTTTCGGATTAATATGCAGTTTATTTGCCCAAACACGGGAAACATGTACGGGGATAGCGTCCAGCAACGGGGTACATAGGGAACAATGGTATTCAGGTACGTGTAAGTGTATCTAGCAATGTTGGCACCTTACTTACTGCAGTGGGTGTATCTTGAAATTGCAGCTGGACCGGACCCCAGAACAATATGCCATGAACAACGATGCGAAGCAGAACAATTTTTGTGTAGAAGGTCACAAATATGAATGACATCGGGATTTGATCTTATCGCTATTGAACAATGAAAACAAACAAAACACCAATACACACGCCAACGTGGTTGACTACAGCATTGCAGTGCGAGGCAAACTACAACTTTGAGCAGTTCTCAGAGAAACTCGAGCCAATGCGCCACATCCTTGGGACAGCTGTTGAAAAAAAATGTGATCACCCCATTTGGATAAGTTGGGCCACCCCTGTTGAGCCTGGCCCAACTTCCAATCAGTTTCCTACCGCCTCAAATCCGTGGAAATACGTGGAAACTCATCGAAATATATTACAGTAATAAGTTAGTTAATACATATTCATAACATAAAACAATAGTAGCTACAACTATCATTTTCTCAGTGTAATGATCTTCCTAGTTGGATGCCGTTTTGCCCAGATCTGTTGCTGAGGCTGGAGTTGCTTGGTCATTGGTCGGGATCCCCAGAGACATGCCAGTGTATATCGTATCCTTTTCTATTGACCTGGGGGACCTGGGGCCGGAGAAAATGTTCACAATGACAACATACGTCAAACATGGATGTACATAGATCATCTTTGGGACTTTGGGACAGTGCCACACACGTCATTGAGGCATATGGGGACAGGTCAAAACATATTAACATATTGGGGGGAATAATCTTCCATTAATCAGCTACTTGTATTTTAGGGTACCTAGGGTGCCAGGGTTTTGACTCATAGCCATATGTCTATACTACTGCTATGCACTTCCAACATCTTTCAATGCATTCATTGCCCATAGCCGCAGTAACCCATGGAGCCTTCCAAACCCAAGGTTTGTGGAATTTTCGCTTGAACTCAGAATCTGACCGTGAGCAGCTTGGCAGAATGATGGTAAACCTGGATTTGCTGAAGGTGAGTTGCTTTCAAACCACCTCTTCCCCTACCGGTTCAATCCACCTGCTTTCAACATTTTGTTGAAGTCGGGCTTCAGTCTTACATTACCCAAACTGGATGACATGCTTTATGTGTTCCCCCATCATGGGTTGCAGGTACCGATACCCATGGAACAACAGGTAGGATTCTAATCCTTTATTACTGGATTTGTATGAGTAAATTAGTATATCTAGAACGTGTATATATTATTATATATTTGTGTGAAAACATGTGCAATTCAGTGAGCGATCATTGACCTTGAACATGTGCGGTCGTTCCGCCTCAAACTGCAGGGGCCCTAGACCTGGTGGACACTTTCGATTTCATGTCCCATGGCGTGACCAAAAGGCTGTCGACCGAGCCTGCACCTCTCCGCTGTGTCTAACAGTGGTAGCGGCAGCTGGTTGCTTCCAGGGATGCCAGAGACTGAAGGGTTTGGTACTCCAACAGCTAGAGCTGAGGAAAGGCAGACGTTTACTGGGGCAACAGGCCCTGTTGCAGCTGAAGGAGCCAGAGAAAGGGATGGACCCAGAGACAGGGATCCTCCGCCGGCATACGACGGCGCAGATCCTGAAGGCACGTTCAAGACGTTCGAGAAGAACGTTCGGCTGTGGGAGTTCGAGACTGATGTTCCCAAGAGAAAGCAGGGGGCAAAACTTTTGAGGTCGTTGAGCGGCATGGCACAGTTGGCGGTAGAAGACATGGAGTTTGAAGACATAGCCAATGAAGATGGAGTACGAAACATACTTCAAAAGCTTAGAGAGTTCTTCCTGCCGCACTTGGAAGTCAGTCTTCCACGGGCCTTTGAAGCTGCAGTTTATGGCAAGCCCCGCCAAGCCAGTGAAGGCTATGCGGAGTACATTGCCCGTATGGAGCGGGCGTTCAGTCGTCTGGCCAAGGAAGGGGTTAGCCTTCCTGATGGAGCCTCAGGGTACATCATGTACCGTCAGGCATCGCTGACGGAGTCACAGGATCAGCGATTGCTCACATGGTGTGATGGGAAATATGGCAAGAATGACATAGTCAAGGCGCTCCGCAAGTTGGACAAAGTGGTCAGGGAAAAGGGCAGCAAGTCCAACTACTTCAACGAAGATGCAGAGGTGGCTGAGAATGACAGCTACTGGTGTGATGATGATGATGATGAGAACTATGTCTATGTGGCTGATGGAGACTTGGATGCTGTTTTCACCGAAGAAGAGATGAATGCAGCCCTTGCCAGTTACCGAGAGGTCCGTGAGGCGTTGAGGGATCAGCGCAATGGACGCGGCTTCTACCAGAAGGGCAAAGGCCATGGAGGGAAGTCCAGCTTCAAGGGCAAGGGCAAGCAAAGGGTTCATGTTGAACAGCTGAAGTTGCGTACCAGGTGTTGGAGATGCGGCGCTGTAGGCCACATCAGCAGAGAATGCACCAACCCACCCATGGAAAAGAACAAGGGCACCTTCAGCTCCAGTGCTTCCTCAACAACCAATAGCTCAGCAAAGTCTGGCTTCTTTGTGATTGCGGAACAGAATGCGAGGGGCATTCAAGACTCTCAGTCACCAGAAAGCCGAGAGTGTTTTTGGTTGCGTCAGTTTGTAGAGAACCGGCGCAGGAAAAATTTCTGTGCTGAGGATGGAGCTGTGAAGTCCGATGCGGACTACAAGGGTGCGAGTGCTGAGGGTTTTTGCGGCATCACAACCAAGTCGGAGCATGGAGTAGTCGACACTGCTGCTGAAGGAGGTTTGATAGGTTCTAGAGCTCTTGAAAGGCTGAATGTGAAGTTAGAGCAGTTTGGTTTGTCATGCAAGAAGCTTCAGAAGAGATCTTCGGCAAAGGGAGTAGGAGGTCAGGCGAAAGTTTTAGGAGTGGTCCTCATTCCCATCGGCATTGGAGGTTTGAATGGAGTGTTGGAAGCCACTGTGGTAGAAGGTGAAGTACCTCTCCTACTTCCAGTTAGAATGTTGCGAAGCCTTAAAGTCCTCATTGACTTCTCCAATCTCTCCTTCACCATTCCTGACATGTCCATCGTTATCCCCATGCATGAGTTGGCCTCTGGACATGTCACAATTGAGATCATGGAATTTGCGGCTGGAGGTTTTGAGGTATCAGATGCCAATGCACCGTGTTGCACTGCGGATTTTCAGAAAGATTCGAATGTCACAGCAATGTTGGCTCATAGCGAGCTGAAGAACCACACGACCCCCTCCAACGCTGCATTGGAGAAAGACTCAGAACGTGCAGCCTGGAGCAATGGCGGCCCTGGTCGAGCGTTTGATCGGGAAGGCCAAAGGGTCTATGGAAGAGCGGGCGCCCACACTTCCCGAAATGGAGCGTGGCCATCGTCCCAAGAGAGCAATTCGAAACTGGCGAGTTCTGATGGACAAGCTGGTGATCATCATCCGGTATGCGGCACAACAACTTTTGGTGCAAGAATGGTTCCCCGGATGCTCCTCACCTTTGGGGCAGCCCTTGCCGCTGTCAAAGGCGGAACCGGCTACACCGGGGGAGATCTATGCCCAGTTGATCGTTCATGCAGAGATGTTGACGCCTCTGAAGTCGCAGACTCCGGCTTCAGTCGCGGCCAGTGCATGCGTGCACCCTCCCCATGCTTTGAAGGGTGGAGGGAACACGAGCCAGTCCTACATATACTGCAAGATGTGTCTGTGCCGTTGGAAGAACCCTTCCACTGCAACCGAGGTGAAGAAGAACTTGAAAGCAGAGAAGAGCAAGGGCCCCTTGAGTCAAAAGAAGATGGCCGAGAACTACATGATGGAGGACGGGGATCTTGTGGAGCCCCCCTATGGCACGATTCAGACCTCCGAGGAGGCCGAACGGAAGATGGAGAGAATGCAGCAAGAGCTGGAGAAGAAAATGCAAGTGGACCGGATGGAAATGGCCCAGCATCAAGAACAGATGTGGAAAGAGCTTCAGGCTCAGAAGATCGAGATGCAAGAGAAGGAGAAGAGACATCAGGCTGCCTTGGCCGCACTACATCGGGAGAAGAACGACTTGGAGAGAGAATATGCGATTCTTCAGAATCGCCAGAGCTCAAGCAAGAAGTGCCTGTGCGGGAAGGAGGCGGAGAAGCTGCAAGTGAAGAGAGAAGGCCCTCGGAAGGGCAGGTTCTTTTGGAAGTGCACTCAGAGGGAGTGCCAGTACTTCGAATGGGAACCCAGGGCACCGAGTCCGCCTCCCAGCGACTTCAGCTTTTCGCTGGTGAATTCCACTGTCCGGACGGGCAGCCAAGCCAGCGTTCCGGGCAGCCGCCGTCGCAGCAAGAGCCCCCGGACAGAGAGAAGGAGACATGCGTCGGATGCGGAAGTGGAGGATGTGTCGAGCTCATGAACCAGGAGATCATGCTGAACGCTGACAAGGCACGCAGCCGCAGAGTCATCCGAAAGATGCAAATGGGTGAAGATCCGCATTTTGCGGTAGAAGGATCTTATGAGGTCGAGATTGAAGAGGGCAAGTGGGCCAAAGTTGGTGGTTTGGTTCCGCTTTCTGAGACTCGGCCGATCCGAGTGTTTGCTATGGTGAGCAAGCGAGACGTGGTGGAAGAGCACTTTGGCGTCTCAAAGGAAAAACAAATCTCTCGCAAAGAACGTAGGCATCTCAACAAGAAGCTTTCTGAGATGGTGCCTGTGGTGAGCGAGGTGTTCTCTCCTCCGAGGGTGGCCAAAGAAGCAGCTAGAGCAGGGCTGAACGCCGGCGGATCCTATGACCTGCTGACTGGTTGGGACCTGAGAAACCCTGCTCATCGAAAGAAAATGTGGAAAGCCTTGAAGGAAGAGGATCCTCTTTTGCTGGTTATTTGTCCTCCATGTGTTGCTTTTTCCGTTTTGCAAGAGCTGAATTTCCCGAGAATGTCATGGCAGTCGGCCATTCAGTTGGTTTGCATGGGCCTGGAACATCTGGAATTGGCTAGTCTCTTAGCAAAGTGGCAAGTTAAAAGAGGCAGATATGTCCTTTTTGAGCATCCATGGGCAGCACGTTCATGGAAAGAAAAAGCAGTGGAGGAAATGGCTGAGCTTCCAGGAATGATCAAAGTGAGATGCGACCAATGCATGTTTGGACTGCAGGTGGATGAGTGCGGCCTCAACAAGAAGCCGACTGGACTCTTGGTTAATTCTTCATGCATTGCCAGGAGAATGGGTAGGCTTTGTGATCACCGTCATTTTCATGCGCCGACCATGAACGGGCGTCCAAAGAAAGCGCAGCAGTATCCACCTGAGTTTTGCAGAGAAATTATTTTGGGTTTGAAAGATCAGATCCGAGAAGATCGTGGAGAGCACTGGTTTTCTAGGGAAGTCTTTGCGTTTGAAGATGGTGAAGAAATAGTAGAAGAGGAGGCTGAAGAGGGTCTTCCTGAAGAGGATGTAGACCGAGGGGAGGCTGAAGGTTCATATGCAGTCACAGAGGAGGAGAAGCGTCAAGTCATGAAGATGCACATTGGACTAGGTCATCCCCAGAAGAATGAGTTTGTCCGGTTCATGCGGGCTGCGAGAATCAAAGGGGAGATCATCAGATGGGCTCACAAAGAATTTTCTTGTCCTGCTTGTTCTGCCAGGCCAAAGCCGAAGGCGACACGTCCTGCGGCGATCCCGCGCACCTATCAGCCAAATCGAGTTCTTGGAGTGGACTTGATATATCTTCCAGAGGTAGGTGGCAAGCAACTTTTTCCAGCATTGTCAGTAGTAGACTGGGGATCGAACTATCAAGCAGTTGAGCGAGTGGAGAGCAAACAACCAGAAGTCATGTGGAGAACTATGTGGGATGTTTGGTTTCGCGTTTTTGGATTGCCAGAGGTGATCATTTGTGATGCCGGAAAAGAGTTTTCCAGCAAGTTTATGCAGCTGGCAGCTGCCCAGGGAGTGGTCACTCAAAGCATCGCAGCAAAGGCACCGTGGCAACAGGGTAGAACAGAGAGGCATGGTGCACACTTCAAGGAGCTGTTGGCAAAAGGCAGAGAAGAAACAGTGATCACATCGGGAGAAGAATTGAGAATCCTGATGAGGGAAATAGAAATGGCCAAAAACAGGTTTTCTAATCGCTCTGGATTTTCGCCTATCCAAAGACAGATAGGTCAGTGGCCTCGCATTCCCAGCCTACTCCTGTCAGATGACATCCTCGACCCCGGGCTCATGGACGGGGCAGTAGTGGATGATTTGGAAAGATCACTGGAGATGAGGAGGATTGCCCAGAAGGCTTTTGTTGAACACAATGCGAAAACTGCTCTTCAGAAGATTGAGAAAGGCCGAGCTCGCACAGTACAAGAATTCAAGTCTGGAGAGTACGTATATGTGTACCGAGTGCCGAGAAGGAAGAAGCGCCGTTTTGAAGTTGGACCAGAAAGCCAGGAGAACACTCCAAACAAGGCATCATGGATTGGCCCTGGCACCGTTATTGCCACAGATGGTGCAAGTTTGTGGGTGTCGATGTTTGGGGAGCTCTGGCGCGTAGCCAGGGAACAGTGCCGTCTGGCGACCAATGTGGAGAAACAAGGCATTGAAGAAGTGATGAGAAGCTGTCAGGAGCTGGTGGAGGAATTTAAAAGGTCCGGCAACAGAAAAGGGTACAAAGACATCAGAGAGGAAGAGTGGCCTGGTGAGGAAGAAGAAAACGGTGAGGAGGCTGCAGACCCCCAAAAGGAGGCTGAAGAACCCCAGGCAATGCGCCGAGTCAGTTTTGCCCCAGAGGAGGATGATGGATATTCTCCCTCATTTGGACCAGAGGTCTCGCCTCTTGACGAGATCGAAGTGGGCAGCGTTCCGTCGAGCTCGCATGTCGATCCTTCGGTGCCAGAACCTGAGGCAGAGATGTCTCGAAGAAGGTCGGGATCTAGAGCCGAGATGGATGAGGTAACCAATGGTGCAGAAGTAGTTGTGGAAGGACCCAGAGTGCCTTTGCAGATGAGTGAGGAATGGAGGAG